GGTTTATTTTGTCTGCGGAGCTGTATCAACTAATTGGATTATTTGGAATTTATTTATTGCAAATGAATTATTATAATGATGCAAAAGAAAAAAAAACAGAATGTTGCCAGCGAGATCTACACATAAGATTGTTTAATAAGTAACAAGGAATTATATTACGTCACTGCAGTTATTTTAAGGAAACACGGACGAGAACTAAAGATTGCTTTAGTGGCCTAACAAAACTAATGCAATAGCTGATAATGTAACAGTTTTTGTACGATGTTGATTACTTTCTGGTATAATGTGTCTGAAATGTGAAGCTTCACTTCAGCTACGCCTATGTCTTCATAGCGCGATACTTTAGAACAGGGATAACTTTACCTTTCTTAGTCAGGTGACGAATGACCCTCATTTCTTATTTTGTTTTTTCAGGATTGAGCGCAATTGTTTTATTTTCAGTCGTGTGATATGTAATTCATCATAAAATTCTAATCGTAGTCTACGTAATTATCTTTGAATAATGATAAGAGAGTTTATGTAACTAACTAAATGAAATAAATTAATAGGAACATGTAAGTTCCTTGAGGAGCTAGTCAAGAAACTCCCCTGTTATACGGAACTAAGAGGCTTATTCCTGTGTTTTCTTAGCTCACCATCAAATCCTCTTTTCATTCTACTGAAGTGGTCCATGCCTTACAGACTAGTCCTCTAAAATACATGTTAATGTATTATTAATCTTAGTATCTTCCTGTCTATGAGTAGGTCTAACGAACAGTCTATTCGAATTAAATTTGTGCATTTGATATTTCTGTCTTAAGTATGAGTGCGATAAATCTGACCCACAAATTTAAGTCGTATGTAAATACACGGAATGTGGTAGATAGTGGGGGAGGGTTTTCACCTGCATCCTCCATATTTGTAATTTGGGTCTAAGTTTGTCATTGGCCATTTTTTGATGTATACACACACAGCCTTTCGAGAGTTCTGGCAATGCCCAGCATAACTGCTTTTTAATGAATAAACTGATGTCAAACCTTTAAAGAATCGTGTGGTTCACTCACATGGCGAATTAATAATTTGCAATTGTTTTCATTTACGTTCGGAGCCGTATTATCACATGCATATGATATTCAGTTATTACACTTTTGCCGTCAGGAGTTAACACTGCTTCCAGCTTCGTTAGGAATTTCTCGTCCTTTCTCTCCAGCTTTCTTTGTCTTCTTCTTATCTCTCTGTCACTGTCTTCAAAGTTATTCATCTACTGCAGAAACATAAATACACTTTTTTCAAAAAAATCTGGCATAAGCATTATAATGGTAAGTGTTCTGAATGACCACTGTGTTTTTAGTATATTCCCGGCAATTTTCATGAATTGCTTTAAACCACTGCAGTTATCCCCAGAAGTAAGAATCTATAACAAACACATTTCTTTGTGATTTTGTTCCTTTCTTGAACCACTGTGAGAAATTAATTCAAGTATTAATGGTAAGGAACTAAATATCCATCTGTATTTATTTGTTGTCTGTTAGTAGCTCAGAGTGTCGAATGATAGGATGCTTAATTAATAATGAACTGGAACGTATATGGAAACGAGCGTAGCTTGTACTTTCCCGACATTTACTTGGAGGGACTCAGAAAAACCACAAAAATCTAATAGGATAATCGGTCTGATATTTATCTTATTTTTAATACAATTTTAAACTCCTCCGAACCGGGAATTATTCTTCATTACAAAAATAGTCTCATTTCTCTATTTCCCATCTTTTTCATCATTCTTCTTCCATTCTCTGTCCTCTTTCCAGGGGGCCTCTGTTCAGTTCCACGCTCCATTACAGAACTCGCGCGCACTCTTGTGGCTCAACTCCAAATTACAGTCGAGTTGCGAAATGAAGAGCGGAAGGCGTCTGACAAATGAACCGTCGTGTTATTTCTATGTCTTCAATTTCTCCTCAGCCTTTCCCTCCCCCACATCCACTGCCACCCGCTCCTCAGTCGTTTTCTTCATTTTTCTTCTTAGTGCTGTATTTCCTCCTTATTCTCCACCTGTCTGAAAGGAGGCCATCTTGTATTGTGCTCGAGAAACAAATGAATGTCGAGGTGAAGGTGGTAACAAATCTAACAAAAGACGAACGTTATGCCAGGAAGGAAGGAATTGTCATTAATTTCATTTTTCACACCACACTGCATTTTAATTTACATAGAAAAATGTAGTTAATATTGAAAATAATAGATTGTTTTGATCCTGTGTATCACTGTGTGTCACAATCAGTAAGAATGTCAAAGTAGTTGAAAAACTATCGTGTTGTTTATCAGAAGCCTACACTAAATTCACGGGGTTTTATTTTTGCAAACTATCTACTTCACGACTTAACTTAAAAGCAAGAGAAATTCAGGCTTACGGTTTTATTAAATCTGTAACTCATCTGCTTGCAATTTGCATGCTAAAACGTGTCAAGAAATAATTAACTGTTTCTGTGTTCATCTTAAATATTTTCAACAGTATTTTATATGCTTATAGGCCTAAATATATTTTATCAATATTAATTTTCACAAGGTGCAATAAAAAATCCCTACTTGTGTTTCTTCATTTTGTTCGTCTGCTAATCCGCATGCTTCATTTCAGAAACCACTCGATAGATTACGATGACATTTCTTTTGTTGCCCTTTCGTGTCATAAACTCTCATAAACGCATATTTCTTCAGTAAATATAAAACAAAATTATTCCTCCCTCCCCACTCAAGCAGACGTCAAAAATTTTTGCGGTAGTCAATTGGTTTCTTAATGCATTCCTTTTGTCTTTGGATGCTTCCTAGAATCACCAATTTTATTAAACTGGTCCAAAAATATGGAATCATTTTGTGCCGTATCGTCCCGTCTCCTATCTAAAAGCGTTAAGATTAAAATATATAATAATATTGTATTTTCACCTCTTGTTCTATGTGGGTGTAAAACGTGGTCTATCATGTTAAGGGAAGATCACAGTTTGAGAATAAAGTGCTTAGGAGAATATCTGAACTTAAAAGGGATGACGTGACAAGACGGAGAAAACTGCATAATGAGGAAATTCATATATTACTAGAGAAATTAGATTCAGCATGTAGCAAGCATGGAGTTTGCTCTTAATTTTCCAATGAATGAAAATTCGACCTATTGCTCCATCTATTGTTCCAAAATATCTGAACTTTGCCACATTTTTAAACGGTTTATTAGCCACATGATATAGTGACTTTGTGTTGTAATTTGGTGATATAAACCTATATGGTACTTAGTTTTCTCTGCGTTTCCTTTTAAACAATTTTCCTTAATTGCATCTAATACGACTTCTCTGGTTTTATTTAAGATGTTTATGTTTTATTCCAGTTACCTGCATACATCAGAAACTGACGTGTCCCACTCAGTTCGAAAATTTATGTTTTCTCGGATCTCCCTGTTAGGGTGTTCTAAAGAAAAGTTGAAAGCACTGATGATAAAGAATCTACTTTTTCTGACCATTCTGAATAGGAAATGCATCAGACAAACGTTTACCTAATGTTTAGTCTAACGTTTCATTATTAGGCTATACCGAATTTAATTAGAATGTTGTATAAATGTACTGAATCATAAGCTTTCTTGAAATATGTAGCGTAAAGAAGCTGATCTACTGTCCCGTTGTACTCCTTTCGCGCCTAGTATCTAAAGAATGCTTAACTTGATCAATCACGTCGAAATCCATACTGTTGATCATAATAATTTCGTCCACGGATAGAATTGACCTTGTTTAAAGAATTTCTTGGTAAGTTTAGCAATTGTGTACTTTTAAAGATAGCCCCTGTGCCGAGTTAGGAGTTAGTAGATCTGTTGCATTGCATTGGAGCGGAATATTCGCTGCGACGCCACGTTACACTTTAATGCAGTGAAACATGTGTAGCTCTTGTTCTGCAGCCGAACTGCCTTCCTGCTGTGTGTTGTCGTTCTGTCTAAATGGGAGCCTGTGTCGTTCATTCATTCATTCACTCCTACTGCAAGCAGTAGCATGACAATATAGCTCAAATGGACCACTTCGCCAGGCTAACATATCCCACTGTGCTTTGGGGTGCCTGGAATGTATGTGTATTTGTTGATAGGCTAATTGTCAGTATATTATACCAGACCTGGACTATATTTTTTTGCAGTAACCTTAATTAACTTTCTCATAGTGAGTGGTTAACTGCCCTGCTCCGTATTCGGGAGGTCCTGGACTCAGATCTTGACACGGAAATCGGCTATTCTGACTGAGGATTTTCATTGTATTCCTCAATCTGTAAACTGTCTTAAACGTCTGGAAGACGGTAACCTTGAAATGTATTTAAAATAAAAATAAACATGCATATGAGCTGTAGGAAGAAACCCAGGTTAGCTCTTTAAAGTTAGCGTAGTATTTCATTGCATGATGGGTACTGCGTATACAAGCACTGTTTAAGTTATAGCTTTACGGTCACCCTATGACACCATCTTCGAATTATTACCTTCTAAAATACTTTCCGAATTCACTGCCTCCATAATAATATTGCACATGGAAGAAATCTGCGTCTCACGATGCTGAGTACAGTCACGGAAAATGAAAATTTCGCTCGTTGCATCATACCCGCCATTATTTAGGACTTCTTATAATGTCCTAGCATTTTACAAAGAAGGTATTTATTAAGCTCGTCGTTTTGTCGTGGAATTGCTGACAAAGAATCACAGCAAATACTCTTCATCCTCCGAATATTTCAATTAATCTCCGTAATTACCAGCTTTTTTAATTTAAGCTTGTCAACTGATTTTCGGTTGCAGTGTGCGCTCATGTTGTAGAAAGTAAGTACTACTTTTAAAATGAGCGCTTTAGTCCTGTTTAATGCAATATTAATACGTTTAAATAATTTTATGAAATTGCATATTGTGTAAATTTTAAACGACCAGGTTCAACATTGAAGAATATTAGCTCAGACACGTAATACCTATTTTAATATTGAGTGCAGGGGGTGGGAGATGGTCTTAGGTAACTAAGGAATTTAAAAACAACTAACGCAGACATCTATTTATAGAGACTACATGTATAATTATGTTCTTTCAATTTTAACTTTGAACTGTAGTGAATTGTTCTTGGTAACGAAATGTTTTATACTGTTCAGATCAGTGTTAAAGCAGTCTGATGATTTAAATATGCTGTCGACGTGGTCGTCGTCAGGGTGTGTCACCCTGCTATACACGATGCTTCGCTTGAGAGAATCCCCTGGTACTGGCCCGAATTCTAGCGTGTACCTGTACGTGCTGGCTTGCTTTTTGGAACCAATATACTGAATAGCTTGCCACCACTTGTTCTTACTCGAGTCTTGTCGAAACTGGTACCAGAAGAGTTGATCCAAAACTGAAATGAGTTGTGTGCTGGTACCGCTGACCCTAAAATCGTGGTTCGACACTCGGAACACCTGTGTCTCTTTCCTCCAGTGCATAGCCAGACGATCATGGTTTTGTTGAACGTGCGTCCATAAGTCAGAGCGTCGGCCTTTCCAGGTGCAGCCCTTACTCTTTCCTGCCAGACACTCGTACACCCTGCAACAACATCGAACGTATTTCGGCCGTAAACGACTGATTTTCTTCAAGACACTTCCATTCGTCGGCATTACTTTCTGTTTCGTTCGTGGTTGGAAATAAAAATGTGAATTTCCGAACTGTATGCAAGGACGATAACTGGCAGTGGGTCGTGACACTCTTTAATGGTTGAAAAATAGTGCATTTATATATATCATGCAAGGTTCTTCAAGAGAACACTTGGTGTTCGTAGGCATACAGAAAATGGCACAGATGACCTTGAAGAGAGACAGCAGTAGGGGCAAGAGGGCGGAAATAACTGTGAAATAATGGACCAGACTGCGATCTGTGAACAGTTCGGATGTATTTAAAGTCTGTTTTAAATCGCATTGGCAATTTAATGCAGAAAATTAAGAAGAAAATATCTAGGTTATGTCTTGTGTTAGTAGGTAATGGTGAGTTGAAAGCATCGGTAGAATATAATGCCATTAAAATGTTGTTATTACAATGAAGAGCACGACATGTTCTCTAGAATGTCGGAGATGGCTTTGTTAAAATTTTAGTTCTCTGTGAGATGTATCTGGGCCAGTGAGGAACAAGTTACAAATTGTTTCAGGAACGAAAGGAGGTTTTTGGGCTGGTGGAGTTTAAGTGTATGGATTCCTAAACAGTGTAAAGGAAGAGCTATGAAGAAATTTTTCCCCATGTGTGATGAATTTAAAGATTGTAAATTGTCATTTTAGGTTGTGGTGGGACTGCAGGTTGGAGGATTAATTAAAAATGTTCGAACGTATTACAATACAATGTATTAATTATATCTAACAAAATCATGAATTGCAATAACAAGTCTTTAAGGATTTTGGAAATACGTTTTTCAAAGAAGAAGGTGGGTAAAGTTGTATCAGTGAAATATAGGATCAATTTTGAAATAAATAAACATTTCATTAGGAGATAAACTCATAGTATCACTAATTACAGAGAAAAGATACAAGAAAGAAGGGAGGGAGTAAAGACAGATAAAAGGAAGAAAGACAGAAGGAAACGAAGAAATAATGAAGGGAAGAAGTTGCTCTTTCCTGTTCGTACCTGTGTTGTGGTGACGGTACCTTCAGCTTTGCATCACTGCGATTGTCCGTGAAGCAAGTCTCGGCTATGTTCTCCAGCGCCACGTTTCTGGATGTGATGGTCAAGGGCTCCCTGAAGACAAACACGTCAATACGGAAAGGCGTTAACTTTTCTCTTCTTTTTCGTGGAACTGAAGATGAAAAATAGAATCATGATGCTTTCGGCAAGCCGAAATGTAGCTGTGACCGAGAAGCATTTCTGTTAACCTCCATTTCATTTTCAAATAACCGAAAATAAACAAGTTAATAAACAGCAAATACGAGGACACAGTGGCCAATATTATTATGTATCAAATATCTGTTGTGGAAGTGACCCTGCTTATCAAATAGGCCTGATTTAAGGGTGTGGTTGGTAGCGTGAGTACAGTGTAAAGGTACAATTTGGCTGCACGCGACAGAGACAAGCGACCGAGGCAGGCGACAGAATTGCGAGACCGAGACTGGTCGCTTCCTGTCTGCTCTCTGTACAATCGTATAAAGTACAATTACGAGCGCGAGACAAAGACAGGCGACAGAGACAAAGCACAGGAGACCGCTCTCGGACCAGTAGTGTCTCGCGACGGGCTCAGGCAGCACGTGTGTTGTTGAGTAAAATAATGGCAGAAATTAAATTTACTGGTGACCAAGATGAGCAATTGGTAGAATTAGTAGCAGAAAACCGACCACTGACCACCGACAGAAAGATCCTTCTTCGCGTCTGGTTTTGAATATTGAACTCATGGGTTTTCTTTGTTTCTTTCGCAACAAATAACACAGCAACACATCATCTTCTTCTTATAACCTTTTTAGAAGCATTTTGTACTCATTTTTCACAGAATATGTGCACGTATGTCTCAACAAAACAAAGAAAACAAACACTTTGCCGCATGTCTCGGTCGTCACCTCAAAAGTGTGTGGCGACAAGCTGCGATGTGTCCGTCTCCCGTCTCTGTCGCCTGCCTCGGTCGCTTGTCTCTGTCGCGTGCAGCAAAATTGTACCTTAATAGTGGAATCGTACCTGCATGTTGGGCAGAGGGTTAGTTGAGGCTTGCAGACGGAGCAGATGTTATGTCCATTGAGGCATTGAGTTATCGGCGGTGTCATGAAGTCAAAACAGACTGGACATTCTAGAAGACTCGCAAGACTCTTACTCAAGTCTGTTTTAAATTTTATACGAGTTGAACCTATAAGCTTCGCAGCCATCTTAGATGGTGACCTACAACATATTATTATTTAGAATAAGAACATTTCGCTTATAATTGCGTATATTTGAAATGTTCTGAATAGGTTTTCTAACTGACTGGCTAATATGACTACATCTTGAAGAAATAAAGTCACTCAGTGGTTAAATTCTTTTAAAGTAGTTCGTTATTGAAAATTTGTTAAATGAAAGCCCGTTTTAAGTACTGTAATTAGAATTATATGGTGGACTGAAGTAATGTGTGCAGTTCGTATTAAAAGAAGACAAATGTAAAGTATATATACCGGCCTATATACATGTTTATTTAGTAAAAACTCTTGAAGGAAGACCCTGAACTATTCGATAGTTAATTACTTAGTTAAACAGCATACCAGAATACACTTAACAGAGTGGGGTAAAACGTGAAGGCACATAATGCGAGCTTACGTCATTGCATTCATTATCTGATCAGTAAATTATTTAAGGGCCTGCGATGCACGTCATATTTGTGACAGACACAAGTGAGGTCGTTTCTGATTAGAATGTATTTTAAATAAGATAATCACTGACGTTTTGACGTTAACAACGTTTGAATTTCGAAACAATGATTCTATGAGCTGTGAGTGTCAAAGAATTTGATGCAATAAAAAGATGTTAATTGTCATTTTCTGGATTGTGATACCGTTAACAGATTCTGATTAAATATAATACAAAACGGTCTAATACAACTAATTATAAAAGTAACAATGTAACATTTCGCTTTGTGAAATAACCAATACTTTTATTTAGTCTCTACTATATTATTATATTATAATGTATTCGACTATACCATTTATTATATGATATTTTATCATTAATTTATATTATATTATCAGGGGGACATTGTTAATAAAATCTCCTAAATATGATATTATATATGCCTATTATAAAATATAGGATATTATATACCTAATATGTAATGACAGTCGTTCTTAAAACCTAACATGAAGGATACCTGATCTTTGTAATTTTAACTCCTTGTCATTACAAACAGGACGGTCATGCGAACTAGTAAGGTTGAAAGAACGCCAACGCCATTCAGTGTACCGAGTAGAAGTTTTCTTTCTTAATGGACATTTTAAAAACATGCCATTTTTACTAGGAAAATTCCATTACAAAGGCGTAAAAACAAGGTGACAGATGCGTGAAATATTTAGGTAGACTATATTGACAATTAGTTATGAATTCTTGTAAGCTGGCTTGCAGTATTTATTTGGTTACATGACAACAACAATTTATTATACTCATATGGCAAAAGCTTTTCAGCCTGTACAAGGACAATACAGCCTACATGTTAAGCGAACGGCCGGGACTTAGTCAATCTTTTGAGACAAGCATTTCTAATCTTATCATCAGTCTGAGTGTACATATTTGTTGTTACGTGAATAAATGAAGCTACGAGTACATAACTTACTTCGCATCATCGAGATAAAACAAAAACTGTTTACGGTATCTTGGAGCATGTTGGGCTAAGATGCCATACGAACAAAGAGACGCTATTACGTTTAATGAGTAAGGAAATGCTATTATATTGAGTGATTCAAAAGCCTCCATACATAGGGAAAATGTTCGCATTTTTAGCAAACTGTCACTTTATTCACAAAACATGCTCTACATGGTTCTCATTCCTTTGAAAATACACACTGATGCGTCTCTCCCATTCATGGTGAACTCGCGTTAACACATCTGTTTCGTAACTTTTCGTGATATATCAAGGCCTTCAAGTGTCCTCACAAGTAAAAATCTAATGTTCTGAGGTCTGGGGACCTCGGAGGCCACTCCACGGGACAACAGCGACCAATCTAGGAACCCGGAAGCTTCTGATTCATTATTCCCTATGTATGGAGACTTTTGAATGACTCTGTATATAGGTAAGAGCATAGACCTTTGAGTAGTGAACTCCTAAAGCTAGTGTGTTATCGCTGCAAATAACTTATTTAGGTTCCGTTATATAACAGAAATGTTTCAGTTGAGGACAGTTTCTCCGGAATGGAACACAATGAGACTATTTGTCTAAGTTTGTTCTAGTTCAGGTTGGTCTCCGTTGTCGAATATAGGCTCACACTTGATTGTCTCTTTGCTGTTGGTAGTCAAGATTTTATTTTACGAAAGTTTTTCCATTTGTAATTGTTTTTGTTAGTGCATGTCCATAATTGGTTTTATTTTCTGTTATCAAGAGCATAATTAAAGGAATTATCATCACAATCGTCTAGTCTGTGAGTTTTATGTTGTACATTTTGCTGCGTGTCTGTTTTATATTTCTTTTTGTTCTATTGTTTTTAGTTTTCGGTTGTAACTGGCCTTGTTTGGCTGTTATCTAGCACATGAATAAATTAATGGAATTATTATTATGGCCTGTTAAATTAATATTTATAACTTTCACCCAAACAAGTGAACTATGAACTTATTTCGCTTATCGTCTTGTAGGAGACATAACTATGTAAAGACTCTCTGTAAAGAAACATGAACGAAGAACTTGACTTTATACGGGTGATTCCGTTGAAATTGAAAGCCTATAAAACATATTGTCTTTAATAAATGATAAATATGCAATTGCAGCTTTAACTTCGCTCCCTATACGTCTGTATGAAGTGGTGCTTAAATACATGGACGGCTTTAAATCTACCAGTTTTTCAAGGGCTCTGCATCATGCAGTCAATTACTTAATGAAAATTCCTGACTTACCTTTAGCATGCCGGGCCTATGTTATAAATTTCTTGCTCAGGCTAGGACGACACTAATGAAGACCATCATTCTATCACGCAGAATACAACAAAATGTAACACTTAGTATTCCCTGTTTTTTACACATATATCACGGATTCTTCATGCATACAGAGACGATATTCCTAAAAGGAATATAGGAATCAGGAGTTCGTATTATCTCCGCGAGCCTTATCAGAGTTAGAAAATTAGAGATACCTCGAATCTTATCTCATGTTTATCAAATATCTCCATTAGTTTGAAATGTAACAATGATCGAATTGTATCAATTCCTCTGAATAACTACTGTTATGTACTTAACAAAGACACAGAAGCGTCTGTGACTGAAAAGTATTATATCGTGTCATAAATAACACTGAAATTAGAATTTTATACAGCCCTGCATTAATAAGTCAAAACACGCATATGATTAATTAATTTCTTATAAATCAATACAATTAACAATATAACTAATACCCAACTTATAAAACCAATTAATTTCACCTGTCACTGAGATAAATTATTTAGATGTCCTCCTTTCAGTGCGCTGCATATATCTGTCCGCCAATCCGACGCATGGTTTAATTACAGATGTTAATACACAGGCACTAATTAAGCCCTGACGTCAGAGGCACTGGCTATATTTCTGTGAAATGTTGTCATCTATCTAGGAGTTTGAGCGGCGTCTGAGCCCAAAATATCGACATCTTCACCGCCTTGAGATCCTCAAATCTCACATAATATGTGAAACTTAGTATAAACACTATGCCATGCCTCCCATCTTTGTGGCAAAATATTCAGAATTTACAAATACACGTTTTGTATTCTTAATTGGTTTTATGCATTTTATTGAAGAGGCGTCTGTATATATTTATGGCACCTACATATTTAAATTAAAATATTCCAGTAATTATGGCAAGGCTTTAAACTGATAACTGTGAAATTATCGACCAATTTTTGTGCAAAATTTCCATTAGTACAGATTCTGGCAGTAATAAATTCCCATTATAACATAATTTCACAGTTTCGCTCCGTCGCCGTGTTTTTATTACTAGAGCAAAGCGCTCCTTTCGGAGTTCCTTTTGTCTATCAAGGTCATTCGGCAAAAAAGTGTAACGAAGAAGGGTCACAAAATGTGTAAGATCAATATCAACAAATCGACAACAATGGTTACCTAGGAAACGTCATCTGTTTACCTAGCATGCAATAAAAGGAAGGGGGTTAAAACACTTGAGTTTTAAAGTCTTTCTCAAGTGTTTTAACCCCCTTCCTTTCATTGTATTTGTTGCCTAAATATATAATTTAAATACAGAGACGTCAGTTTTCGTAGTCGTAATATATCGAATGAGCAGTATGACTTGAATGAGTAGTATTATTAGTATCAGTTTACCTTGTTGGAGTTGGTACTTCAAATAGTTGATAACGTCTTCTTTCACTTTTCTTCATTTCTTAAATAGTTCTGATGTTTTAGTTCTTTACGTCGCTGTTCGGAGGCCAACTGTCAGTCAATTTTCAAGAATGCGATGTGCTGCTTCTGGAGCAGTGATCATGCGACTGTCTTGGTAGTTGGTGATCTCGTCGTTGTAAAGCGTTATTTGTTTGATGACATCATTTTTTGACGACAAATTTCTTTGATAATTGTTTGGCGACGACGACAAATCACAAATTTTAGTATAAGAAAAGAAGATTGGTATAATATTATTGCCTTCTAAACAGTATTCCATATAGAATTCTTATATTTGATAATGTTCAATCTCCACGCAACATTGTGTCGTTGTTCGATAATTATTGCCGTCAGACGGAAAACTAATTGCAAATATAGGGCTGCCGCTGTGAACTGGATTTTTGGAGACTTTTCTGAATTAATTTTGTTAGAGTTAGTTCATTGATGGCACTCTGAAAGAAAGTTTTTGTTATGCAGCAAATTGTGTTCCATACTCAGTTCACAACTGCACAATCCTCCTCATTTTGTATTACTTTAAGAGAGAAGCGTAATTTATCTTCAGATACAAATTGCCTCATAGCGAGAATAGAAACACACAGGCACTCTTCCGAGCTGAACACGTCATCAATAATCTCAGTATCAGTATGTGTGTTTCTACTGAATTTAATATTCATGCCGATTGGATTTCTCGAAAAAAATTCAACTTCATATTTATACTTTGCTGCATTTTCTTCTGGTCCGACGTACTGTACTGCGCCGAAAAATTTTGATTTGAAACTGTTCTTTTCATGATGAAACCAGAAGAGTTCTCCATGTGCCAAGATCACTTGAGTTGTGAGAGTATGGTCATAATTGATAAAATCCTTGATCTTGCATACATTATTATTGGTTAGTATAAGCGTTCTTTTATGAGTTTCACCGACATGGTTCAATATTTCCCAGCGTCTTCCCGACCAACAGCAACCCACTGATCTCCCAGGTTCACAGTTGTACAACCTGCAAAACATATAAGAAAGTCGTCCATCTCACACTTGACTCATAGTAATCATGTAATGGTTTATAACGCTGGTTGAATATTATGATGGACATTGTCCTCTGTCTGAGGTATATTTGATGTACACGACGTTTTGGGAGTTGACTGTACTCGCTTTCAGTGACTGGTTGTCATGTTATTAACATAGTTATATTCTTATTATTAAAGTCAGTGACAACGGTCAGTATTGAACCAGAGATGTTTAGAATGCAAAGCTCGTACGCTAACTACTAGGAGAGAGGTCTGCACACGCCCGGGCTTGGCCATCGGGCATCGGTCCGACCCGGTTCTAGGGTCAGCCAGACCTGGTAGCACAGTTAAAGTTCGAGTCTGATAAAAATTATATCAATCAGATATCACATAGAACATTTAGGTATTTCTCCGGCTATTCTGTTTTCGATAAGAAAACGTCGTTCGTAGTTAACGCTCGCTCGTGACACTATCGAGTTCCGAAAACAGATTTCTCAGACTTGATTTTGTCGGTCATTTTCGTAGTTCTCCTCTCACGGATATTTCGAGATAAAACACGAACTTAGCACGTGACGTCTTTATATACCGTTCCTCAAACATCAAAAAAATCTGAGATGTTTTAGATCATCGTTAAATAATTAATTCCATAATTATTGACGTGAAAGCATTAAAGGAAACACGTATTAATAATACGGTAGTGAGGCCGTATTGTCAATAGATGGGACTTATTTTGGGCTGGAATAAAAGAAGTCAGGGGCAGGTAACATACTTGAAGTACACTTCGGTCCCTGACTGGGTGAGTCCAATTAGTTTTAGGATTTGACCGGGTGAAATTCTAAAATTGCAGTCCGTGCACCCGGTGAATCCGACTGTTGTCAATAATTCATTTCAATTCAATTCATTTGTTTAAGTGCTTGACAACAGCCAGGTAAAGCCAATAACAGTCAAGCACTGAACAACAGTACAGGATAGTAACAATATCATGAAAACTAGTTCTCTGAATACGGGAGTAGAATCAACTCCCGAAACGTCTTGTATATCGAATATACCTCAGACAGTGGGCTATGTCTAATATACTCTGCCTGTAACTTCACTTATGATTTTATTAGTGTGGGAGCAGGCCTTTCTTACTGCAAGTTAGCATAGCATCTTCAGTGTTCATTCTGATGTCAGATGTGTTAGGATGAATGTCAGAACAGGACTTAAAAAGAAACATTTTCGGAAAGTAAGTGCAGAATATGTGGGACTATATTTATCCTGGCACTACATGTGTCTAGTGAAGTGTGGGGGTGAAAAACTACATTGCAAGACGTTATCAGACCTAGCTATTATGTCGCGCCCGCAAATACAAGAAATACTAGAACTTTAATAAGCAAAGAGAGGAAACAAGAGATTAGGAAATATTTAGTGTCAAGAAGGCAAACATTACAGAAGTCGTGGAAGAGTATGATGTTAAAAATAACCTCATGAACCTCTCGGAACAGACCTCCGTTGTTTTGTGGCATTCTTGACCTCGCAGGCAAGGTACTCTAGACCTACCTGTAGGCACAGACTTTCATGTGGCTGAAGATATCGTGGATGCTCGCCTTCTTAACCTCGCAGCCAACGTCACAGTTTTGACACTTCTCCAGGCACCGCTCAGCCAGTTTCTCGAGGGCGACGTTGCGAGTCAGCAGGATGGACTGTCTACATGTCGGACAGTTGTTCAGTCGAGGTCTGCATCTTGGACAGATATTGTGGCCGTTTTTGCACAGACTGATTGGTGGTTCCATGCTTTCGAAACATACTGGGCACTCCAAAATGTCGGGTAGACATTGTTTTAATACGTCCTCAACGCTGCCGTTCATCAGTCTCCTATTTTCTAATAAAAGCTTCATTTCGCCATCCGCCATATTGGAACAATCCTTTCAGCAGCCTTTATACTTGACACCTAGACGCTGCTGGTGGTTGATTGGATGGTGCTTTCACTGCAATTAAGTTACATGTAGTCAAGTAACCGTGAGTGATCTCAAACACGAACTGTTTGTTAGTTTATTTAACTACGTTATTTCAGCTACGTGGGTTATATATCGTGGAATAGGAATATGACTGCAATTGGTAAACTGGGAAAGACACAAAAACGATCTGTCTTCATTCTAGCATTTGTCTGGAGAGACGAGGAAACTCTTTTGTCCCTACTTGGAATGGAAGCCCGGTCTTCCGGCTTGCATTCAGTCAACATTACAGCAAATCTATGTGGTCTGCGGATTATGAATCCTTGTTATAGAGAGATATTACAATCAGCATTAGAAATACATAAAGCACGTCTCTCTAGTGTGTATTTAATCTTTTGTCGTAGAATGGGGTGGAACTGATACTGTGGTTTCTAGTGCGTCCGTCCTAACACTCCCTGAAGAAAGGAGTGAGGGGGAATGAATTTGGAAAGAGACGGTTCTTAATTTCGGAGTAGTGTACTGTCGTGACATTTCTTGAGGAAATGTAGAAGAACCACGAACAGTTCCATCAGAAGTTCACATGTCTGTTCCAATTCGAACCGAGGTCTATTCGAATGCAAGTACAGAGTTTCCTTTAGAAAATCCTGCTCGTTTATGTCGGACACTGTTTACACAAGCAGGTGTTATTGTAACTGCTCTGTGTATCCCCAAACATAATTTTCAGTTCGAAAGTTGTGTTTATTTTACTCAACAAATAAATTGGCGCTGGCCTATGTGACCGCCTCTATCATAATATTTGAACTGAATGACCTATGTTTATGAAAGTTTGTATGAGTTTCATTCGTATCGTTGGAGTTCACATCTCCGTACCTTATAATGTCCGAACCAACTCCTTGAATGATATTCATTCTTTAGAAGCTGGTAGTCGTTCAGCTAACCAAACGAAATTCCGCCCTTTGAGGATCCCGGCCACTGAATCTTATCCTGAGCCAGATGAATCCATCCCACATCCAACACCATATTTCCTAAAGGTCCATATTAGTATTAATCCTTCATCTGTACGTAATTGTCCTAAGTGGTTCCCTCCCTTTCAATCTCTTGACTAAAATTTTGTGTGTATTTCTCGTGCATCTCTCCCTTGAGCACTACATGCCCTGTTTGTCTAATTCCCCATGAGTTCATCATCTAACAATCTCTTTCTTCCTGTTACATCTTAAGTTATTTGTACTGAACCGAATTTGAACCCGATCCGCTGAAATATCTAGGACAACAAAATTTTCTGGCAGAATTTAATTGGATTATAGACGTTCTAAATGTTAATAATTCTTAATTAACTTTTAAAAATCTTCCCCACTTTTAACTTTTTAAGTTTGTTACTATAACTAAGTAATTATGCATATTTTACCTCTGAAGACAGCACCAAAACACGAATGTTCCTTCCTATTTACTATTCACACTGCAGTATGTTCAGGATGACTGCGAACATGTAGTAACATCTGTAACAGTCCTGCGAATACGAGTGATGGAACAAGAAAATCTACATCAGTAGCAGGAAACGACAAGGACCTCTCGGAATGAGCCCAAGTTTAATCTAGAACGCCCAACCAGAAGTGACATCATTATCTGAGACAGAAAATAAACATTGCACTGTCGTCGCACGATGTTGTTTAATGTGGAATTTAATAGATCTGTATACTTCTTCAGTTCAAACATGCACCTGCTTCTAGATAAGACAACATTGAACCGCGTCTGCCCAATGTAGATTTTAGTTACAGTTCAGAAATCCATGCTGCATAGGCTTACTAACTTGTTACTCATTCTTTCTTTCTGCTCGTTTATGCTGTGGGGATTTAAACTTGTTCTGTTGCTTTCTCCCTCGATTAAACCTTTTTCTAAGACGAATCATTCGGAAGATGAAAGTGTGATGATGATGATGATGATGATGATGACACGTAATCTAGTCGGGCAGAATCTGTGCGCTCGATAATCTGTGAGAAGGAACTGTGGGGTTAGAGGGGAAGGAGAGGTTGCAGATAAGAGAGCATATGCTGTCTATACAAACATTATTTCGCAGGAGCAGTACATAGTAGATCACTCCTGTGCCGGTAATACCTTTGGTTTATACACTTTACGCATTTGTTTTCCTTCTATCGGCAAGCTAGTATTGTAGACAAAATGCACAAATTTCCCCCCCCCCCGACTACAGCGCATTATAAATTCGAATGCAAACCACTTTATTGAAGATGTTTATAATGCTCCACTCACAGCAGAATGTAAAGTCAAGAAACACGTTTTATATGAATTCTGTGGGCGAATTTTAACATGTGACCATAACATTTTAAGATAATCGTTTAGGATGATTCATCATATCACCATACTCGTATGCCCCAAATTTCTTAAAAATGCCTGCAATGAAATATACACGTATTCCACAGCGAATCGTCACATAGAAAATCAGTATTAACCAGTTTGCAAGGTCACTATAGTGGTTCTTCCGCAGATAATCCGTCAAAGTTCACGGGAATTAACTCTTTTTTTGTGTTTAAAATAGAGAGGTACAGAATACTAAGATGAATTGTTTGCAGTGGGGTGTTATTCGTGTTGCTTTTTTTTAAGGTTCTCAAAGTTTTTCCTATCCCTTGCTTTTAAAAATAGGCCTACTTGTACTCTAAAGCCCACAGACCTGAGATTTTGGATGCAACTGTCCATTTCAGCTATTGTGGAGCCACCTGATAATTCAATACTTTTTTAAGCCACGATTATTTATGTAAAATACATGTTTGCTGTCACTTCGTGTTCTACTCAGAATGCCGTAAAGTATGGATCTCAAAATAAACGTAACTACAATAAAACACAACACTGTATATTGCTTTAGATGCCGCTTAGTAAGGATTATTTTATTCGGATTTAAGAAGCCGTCTCAAAATAAATGACTACCATTTGTGTCGGTCTCGAAGCACCCACGTTCTGGCCAAGATTCGCACTGTTTAAAATGTGTTTTAAAAGATTTATTTAATCAAGCGCAACACGTGATGGGGCTGCTGGAACAACGAAAATTGGCACAACTTCGTATTTTAAATATATATTTATGTTAATTTGGCAACCGCTCAGTCTCTAAGCCTACCGCGATCTTTTTGATTGGGAATCAAAACCTGAAAATTGTTGCACAATCCAAAATGTAAATATTTGTTACTCTTCGTACATTTCAATTCTTATTAACATTTTCGTGATATCTTTCTTTCCTTTGTTAGTAATGCTTTATTTCGATTAATAAGTGAAACGTCTTCAACTTTTATGATAATATTTCTTACACCCTGTCTGTTGAGACAGTAATGTTTTTAAAGAAATATTCATTATTAATTCCCATATTCGGAAGAGTTTCAATTGTTCCACCAGTTCACTTAAACTGCTTTAATTCTTAAGATGAAATGTAAAGAATTGTCCTTCCCTTAGAAGTTTCTTAGCATTTTGGAATTGAGATTCATGCCTTGTTCAGAACTGAGTATATCAGATATTTCTTTATCACAATGATGAGTTACCGTGCTGAAACTTAATTTAAACTCACTTAGACTCAACAAACAAAATTCAGTTTCCAACTCGTATTTCAAAGCTCCATGTTCTGAACACATGCACTGGGCTGCACCCAGGAATTTCTTCCTATCTTGTTTACTGAAATAACAAAATGACTAGCCCAAAGCTCTTATCAATAACTCAGACGAGAAACTATGGATAGGATCGAACTATTTTACGACACAATCAATATTTTGAAATGAAAAGAATTTTGTAGGGCGTGTGTCTTTGACATGTAACCATATATTCGATCACGATCGTCTTCGAGAACGACTTTGATCTTCATATTTTCCTATAGCGCATTCATACAGCTTCTGGGGTTGACACATATCTTCGTGATGGCGCACTTCTTGCAGTTTTAATTTAGCCTCACAGCCTACGGTACGATTCTTGCGAGGAAATAGGAATTGCATGTTATTATCTCAAGAGACATTACGAATCTTGATAAATTATGTGTCACAAATCGGACATTTCAGACAAATCGAAACGCTGTTTATTATTGTCATCATGTGCCGGGATTACTCGGTCACTGATTAGATGTCGAAGGTTCGATTCTCGGTAAGGGCAGGGAAGCTTCTTATGTACATAACAGGCTTAAACAGTCTCTTATCCAATGGGTATCTGAGGTCTTCTTCCCGAGAAAGAAGCTATCACAGAGTGAAGTTTACAGCTCACATCTGTCTGATGACGAGTTTAAGAATGCCTGAAGCATTACCTCCTTTTACCATTGCATACGTCTTCATTGGTAGGACAATTTTTCCATTTTATATATCAAAGTCCATTCATTTACAAGTTTCATTGGTTTTTAGTTTACTAAATTTGACTAAATTTTAATTAATTTTTCCTTTACTCTATTTTTCGCCGGCATGGTTATACCGTTATGATTCTCAAGTTTCTATGGATACCACTTCGCTGGTGATGGAGTTGCTCCATAAATCACTGCTGCACTTTACGCAGATGAATCATACAGATGAATTACGTATAAAACGAGGGCCGAAGTATCGCTTAGCCTCGTGTTCTAGTAACAAACCACGTCATCGGCCATCGGGCGATGTAATAATGATTTCAATGAAACGCTGAATGTAATCCCGTTTAAATCCGTGTAGAGTTCGATAAGTCGTCGCTAGAGGGTGATGTATGCACGTGCACAATTATAATGAGAATATAAACAGTTTACTTTTTCAGCTCTAACAATTGATGTTTGGCTTGTGACGTCATTTAGTGAGAGTCGTCTCCTGTAATATGAACTGAAGTGAAGGGGGGATGAAGGAGCGAAGAATATATAGAATAAATTTTTCTGTTTAATGGTGCTGTGTAGTTGTATTTTACCAGAAGCATTCGCTGAGAATGTAGTTTTTTATTTAAATAAAAAAAATAGAAAATTTGTAAAAACAATTAAATACGTGGAAAGATGTTTACTGAATCTACAAATGATTTTATATATTTTGTACAGCTGAAGTATAATTTATCTTCCCTCAATTTAACCTATCTCAACTTGGATGCGCATAGTGAAGTTCATATTAAATGTGGGAGAATGATTTACTTCTCGGTACACACGTCTCAGAGGCGAGTTTAATAACATTCAATTGTTCAAGAAAATATAACTATAGGCCAACTATAACTTTTGTGCAATAAACATTTCAGCAATGGATTTGTGTCTGCATAAAAAAGTAAACACTAATGAAGTACACAAAACGGTAAAGAACCCATTTAAAATATATGATCCTACTACAGTACATCTACCCGCTATTGACTGCTATAAATTCATAAGCAGCCTCTGATATGCAATGTTGCTTTGTCAGCTGATACCAAAATACACTAAAAAAAATTGAAAAATGTTTTTCAGCGACACGAGAGAAATTGTCGATTTTAGGAGCTGTCTGTACTTGAAAGTCGGTTACTGATCTATATTAGTCGCCAGGGAGGATTTAGCGAATATCTGGTTTATTGTGTCGCCATGGGCTGAGCAACTAGCATGCAAAAGTGACGTACGTGCATTTTGAATGTTATTGTAGGCCTACAATTACGCCCAGGCTCTCGTGGGTCATTAAGCATTGTTTTTCGGAGAATGCGTGCTAAAAAAAGTTCGGAATGTCATTCTTGACTTCCTATCTTCTATCTAAAAGCAAAATTATTTAAATTTAAAAACAAATTTAATGTTTATTTTTATGGGGCTTTCACCCTGAGAGTGGAACATAGTTTCAAGGCGTTTGAGAAGAGATGCTGAGGAAGATATTTGGACCTGAAAGACAGAAAGAGTGAGAGAGAGAGAGAGAGAGAGAGAGAGAGAGAGAAGGATACTGAAAGAAACTACATAATGATGAGCTTAATAATTTGTTCACTTCCTCTAATACCTTAGGGTGATTAAATCAAGGATTATGAGACGTTCGGTTCAGAGCGCGAAACCTGCCAGGAACCTCTGTTTAATCTAGGATGATTAATTCTTCGGTTATTTAACACCACTTTCAGCCGAATTCGCATTTCTGCGAAACTCCCGTTAGCTATAATCGCCCCGTCATTCTGTACCCATGTAACAATATGTCATTTTGAGATTAAAATAGGGCTTTGATATGAGTGATCAGCGCTTTAGGTTTTATGAAAGATTCTGTCTTAATTATTTTAAAGTACTATTTCTGAGATCTTATGGAGATACTGAGGAATATAAGGAAAGAACCCAGTCAGAACAACCTAACCTAACCTCAGAGATTTGAACCATATTCCTCCCCAAAAAAAGTCCAGAGCATTACACCAGTCTGTACTACAGATGTAGCGGAACTGCCTCCACTCTTTCTGTACTCTTTCTTGGAACAAATTAAATCACATAGGAAAATCGATGTCGTATTCGTATTGGGAAGCGTCCAACTACTTCGTCATGGAACTTGTAAAATTATGCTCTGTGTGAAGGAATTCTATCGCTGTTCACATTGAAATTTTGTTGTACAGTTTCAAAATCTACTTAGGACCGTTTTACTCTCAATCCCTGGCTGCTAGTGTTACTATACATTCATGAAGTGTGGTGACTGAGGAAGGGAGTTGCAGAGCGTAATAAATAGTAAAAATGCCCTTAATTTGGTTAAGAGACGCGAGAGAGAGATCTGAGGGAGGGGGTGTGTTCAATATGGAGTAATCCCGTCAGTGTTTACACAGTGCAACAATCACATATTAAAAGCAGGGTGACATGATTGATGTTCTTGAAGCACACGGTGGGTGCTAATAAGTGCGTCATGACGGTTTCCATGCACGCACGAGTTAACTCGTCTAGAATAAATGGCGTTTTTAGACTGAATTTATTATTCGTGTGGGAAGATCTCTGAAGAAGCCTATTGTCATGTTTCAACAGATCGTTTCCTACACAAATCACCTGCATCACTAGGACAGAAATTATACTTCGCTATGAATATAAGAACGAAGAATTCCATCCATGTTTTATGTAACAGAAATTTCTTGCAGCAACTAATAATAAGTTTGTTCATAAAAACAAGCTCGTGTTCTCTTTGTCCTTCTGAATTACGTGTGTAGCAGAATATAATAATATTATATAAATGTTTGTTACGTTAGACGAATCGGGGTATTGTTGGTAAAGTGCATAAATGAAGTAGGCAGCTTCTCAAAATTCTAGAACAGTTCGACTTTATGTAGCTACCAATTGTAGTAAGTTATACCATTAATATAAATTTAACTTACATAAATACGGTTACCTGGTACATCTAACTCAGGTTATCCATGCTCTAATTGACCTTTGGGGCATCTGTTCACAATAAATAAATAAATAAATATCTAGTATAAAAAGATTTCCACGGGCGACTGAATCATGATAGGCCTACGAAAGTTATAACACTAGCAGGTCGAAATGCCTTTCAAAACGTAAACATTTAATAATAAGTGGATGTACTTGGTCAATTGACGTTGTTTTCGAATTCTTTCAGAAATTTGTACGTACAGTTTCAAATCCTAACCTTTATCTAAACATAGTCATTGTATAATCCATTGGTTTTGCTGTTTTGCAATTGGAGCACAGAAAATGCATACATACATACATACATACATAAACGGGATTACATTCCATGGAATCATAAGTAACGTATAGACTTTTCATGAACCTCGAAATTTAAATGCATTTGACGTTTGTAATGGGCCGAAATGTAAGTCAGTAGGCTGAACTACTGAGGTGGGAAAATTAATGTAAATTTAAATTGGGACATAAACCACTTACGCACTCAACTTGATGTAACCCCCACCCCAATATCCGGAGGTCTAGAACAAACCCTGCAGACGCGGACGAGCGACGGTTCTCAATTGTCAAATGGCGTCGAGAAGGCTGCTCGATAGCATCTAATCCCTTGACTGCGAGCAAATGATGATAAATAGAAAGGCCCTAACTCCTTTCCTTAATAAACCCCTTGCCTGGGGGCTTGTGGGTCGCTGGACGAGAAAGTGGAAAATATAATACGGAACACTTAGGTCCTAACAAGAGGATTCACACTGGATTATCCATCAGCTCCAGCAGGCCAGCATTTTGAAATTTTTGTCTTCTGTGGCGTTCCAGAAGTGTTCAGTATCAAACCCATTTGATGTTGACGGGTTCCGATGGATTAATCGGTATAAACTTTAAAACCAGTCGCACTGCTTCTTAACACAATTGTTGACATACAACCGCAAGCATTTCTGTAGTCACGTTTCAGTTATTTTTAAGAAGCGGTTTCCCAGGTTTTCGGCGACACGGCGTTCATAACCAGTTCGAAATTCGGTCAGTTAGTGTCTATATTATTGATATGCGCGGGCCTAATTGAATCAGAGAACGGGCAGACTGGCAGATATCCGAAGCTGTCCAATAGAGTTTTGGAGAAAGAACACTCAGATAAGCGAAACCGTACGAAGAAAAAGCTAATGTACGATCCAAAGGTTTCACGGCGACTAGTATTAATAAAATATTCTCGGGCTATAAGCTGTGTCAGGAAGTTTAAAATGACCGACGTTTCATGAAGAAAAGGCTAGTTTATATTTGAATCCTTCAGGTTCTCGGAGTCCCTGTGATCGGTACTTTCCAGCAACAAAACATTGTGAGAAACTTTGGGTTTTCCTCGTAAGATTCTCGGACTGTTTACCCACTTTCAATTGTCCATCAGTGAGCGGAGTAACAGAAACATAAATACATCGCGTTGTTCACGGGCTATTTGTCATTTTAGACACAAGCCCTGTCTTTAAAGTTTAGACAGTTTAATGTCAAGACAAATAGAAACTCGTCTGAAAACACACGTACGACACCTGCAGGCAATATTTACGCCGCTTTTCCCCGAAACTAAGAACAGTTACTCTGTAGGCATTGAATTAACAAGGACCAAACTTTTAATCAAAGCCAGATTTACGTGTCTGCGAATACACACACATCTCAACTGGGTGTGTGCGAGCATGACCCATCATCTCCCCCACCCTGCAACTGGGTAGTAATGAAATTAGAGCTAATCCCTGACACAACCCCTCGGTAACATGTTTAAGCTGACAAGACATGGCTTGGTTACCCAGTGTAAAAACATTTGTCAAGTTCCCAGCTTTACTGAACAGACATAGTTCTATTCTGCGAGTATTAATTGATACGATTTAGTGGGCCATGTTCGTATTTCAGTTAAAATATCTGAGTATAGTCTCGAATAATGTAAAAGAGCAGTAATTCTCAAATTGAGGTGTAATAGAACGGAAGCAGAGTCGTTGGCATTCCTACTTTCTATGCAGGGGGTCCCGAGCTCACATCTTGGCCCGGAGACCGCTATCCTGACAGGGCTTTGTGTTTTTGATCAGTTCCATCAGGCAAATAATAAAATCGAATCCCTTATTAGATCTCGACCGCTTTACTCCATATCCTTTCTAATTCCTTATTCATTAATCTTCCCATAACACAGCAATATTTCTATAGTCAGAGCAACTGACGGCGTCGTTGAATAAACCATACATAAATAACTAACACACCTTCATACCCAGTTTCCCTAGCCATATTGTTAACATTGTGCTGCCATCTATCCACCATTGATGTGTAACACAGCGGTGAAATGTAAGCAGTGGCCCGGTCGATAAAATGGTTAACTACTCTTCAATCTTCCAAAATCCCCCCTCCCCCCCCCCTGAAACTCTCTTCTTCTCAGGGGAATTTACTCCGTCCTTTTGGTAGAAACGAGTATGTGTTTCATAATTCTTATTGCAATGCAATGAGCATTGAGGTACAAATGTAAAAGGAAAGGTAGGATTATGTTTCATCTTTTAGAAATAATTTGTTATGAGATAAATCTTTGTAACAGTTAAGCCACAAAAATATTTTATAATTCATATCCTAAAGATGGCAATTATTTTGCTGATTTTGTCAGTGCACATTACTGCGTAGTTACTGCTTGAAGTTACTTTACCCAAACAGGAGCAATTTTGTAATATTTAATAGTGAACCGTCAGCTCCTCCGGTCCACCTTATACTTGCTGATTCGTTGCTCGTGTATTCTAAGCCCCGAGATATTATTGGGGAAACCAAGGAACATTGAAGGCAGTTGAACTTTACAATCTATCAAATCAAATCCCAATCAATTTGAAGTTAAAGCAAATAAATGAATTTAATAATTAAAATTGAACAAAGCAAAAATGACAAAAACAAAACTGTAATACAAAACAAGAATACAAATTAATCTTTCCAAATACAATATTAAGGTTTACACATTCATACAAACCCCAGGTGCGTCCATACAGATGGCAGCGAACCTTCAACACCATTTGGGAAACATTTCCCTATTTAAGCAGAATAATACTTAAGGCCCCCCTTAAAGTTTGTAGGTTTGCGAGTACTGGTTTAATACCCGCAAACGTCCCTTCAGCTGCCAGATCCAGCCGTCAACCCGACGTCAATTATAGTATCACATACTATCTCACTCAACCCCAAGAACAAAATTCAATACATAAAAATGTAGACAAATATATGGGTTGTAGTGATTTCACAAAAACTTCCATTAGTTTTTGCTAGAGACCAAGTTCCTTTTTGGTCCTCAACCATAATGAAAAAAAAAAACTTCTTTCACTATTCACTTCCCACAAGGAACTTCATTATCCGATAGTGGAACAGCTTCCTCAACACAACTCAACTGCTCCCTACTCTTTTACGACGACGACTCCACTCTAGTCTGGGATTCCCCTGCCAGACAAGCCCCAATTTACACATCATACTACACAGACATCCGTACACACCCAACACCCAGTGAATATCACAACACGATGCGTACATAACAACGCTCTTTCCAAAGCTTCGTACTTTTCCGAGCGACCAATTTCCTATGGTCCGCGATCAGAAACATGAAAGATCAAGTCCATCCTTTGATCAATCATCGGTTTGAACCGCACAAGGATTCAAACACTCTCTTGTCTCGGCGTGAACACGCCCCCAGGAGACCAAGAGAGCCGCTAGCCTCTCAACCAGGCATAAGCTTTGGATCACGTGTATCATTACGCAACAGCTCGTGATCGAACTGGTGCTTCCCCGTTCTTATCGCGCTGCTGCTAGCCTCTCGACAGGCGTCCCATTCCACCTTTGAGAAACGCTCAACAGACGCGATACATTCACCAAAACACAACAAATACTCTTTTCATTTACACACAAACAAAAGATTAATAACTGTGACAAAAACAAATACAATTCTAGTCGACCTATATGACGATACATACACGACAGTAAGATGAGGCCCTTATTACAACTGAGCCACACCCGATTACAAGCACAACATACTTACAAGTTCATTTACTCACAAAAATAATGAACACAACAAGAAAATAAACTATTATACAGGTGCAGATTCTGTCGATTATCATAATGAACGTACTAAGCTAAATCTGGACCAAAATTGACGGCCCAGACAATTTTTGGTGCCAGACATAACTCTACGCACATCTGTTCATTATGACCGTCGAGCAGAAAGAGGCCGACCACATCCAGGTCAGTCCTAGTCACACGTCTTCCCGAGCATAAGACAGGAGAGGGGGAAAGTTACAGCTAATTGGTTAATTATGACGTAAGGGAACATAGAGGAATTATAACTGAAACGTTATCTCGCTGTTTACCATCCTCTCGTGGCCGACCAAACACAGTTCAAATGCTGGCCGTCAGAGGTCATCGAAGGCCTGAACCTAAGAACGGTTCAATAGAATTAAAACAAATCATAATGAAACATTAAATGTTTCGTATACTGTGTCCGTAAGAAATAATTTCACTAATAATCCTATTTGCCAAAGATCCAACTACTGTGTCACATTTAATGGATTGTAAATATGAATACACGTTTCTAGAAAACACCGTTTATTATTTCGTACAAAATTGTTTATGTAAGTGTCTAGACAGAAATAAATTGTGGGAGTTACAAAAATCGACGTGCTCGAGTTATTCTCCAATAAGTATATAGCACTGAAACACACTTTTGTTGCGTGATATTAGAATTGTTTCATGATCCCACAGTTGATTATTGAACTAATTAATTAAGCCTCATTTACTAACTTCAAACACTAATTTATTGTTATAAGTTAGTGCGGTAATTGCTCGTGAAGATCATGTATTTAATTTATCCGCAGTGATAGTTGAAGTACTACGATCTGACGAAAGCAGTGGCAGTTTGTATTAGTTCATGGTAGTAGCCACTGCCAAGGGCTCAATCGGTCACAACGTTAACTACCATGTAAGACTTGAGGTTCTCACAGCGGTGAGTATGAAGATTTCTGTCTTCTGGGTTATTGCGCTGTGTAGTCTGGTCGATGTTAACCAACGTTTCAGAGATCATACTGCCTCCGTCATCAGGGCGATGAGTATGAAGATTTCTGTCTTCTGGGTTATTGCGCTGTGTAGTCTGGTCGATGTTAACCAACGTTTCAGAGATCATACTGCCTCCGTCATCAGGGCGATGAGTATGAAGATTTCTGTCTTCTGGGTTATTGCGCTGTGTAGTCTGGTCGATGTTAACCAACGTTTCAGAGATCATACTGCCTCCGTCATCAGGGCGATGAGTATGAAGATTTCTGTCTTCTGGGTTATTGCGCTGTGTAGTCTGGTCGATGTTAACCAACGTTTCAGAGATCATACTGCCTCCGTCATCAGGGCGATGAATATTCATCGCCCTGATGACGGAGGCAGTATGATCTCTGAAACGTTGGTTAACATCGACCAGACTACACAGCGCAATAACCCAGAAGACAGAAATCTTCGTTAACTACCATCTCTCCCTCCCGACCCTCCAACAAAGAATACAACACAGGATTGCTGGTGGATTAATGGGAAACCTGAAGAATTTTATTTATTTTTTCAAGATGAAATGCTACCACATGCAACGCATTTGCACTGTAAAAGATATGACACGACAATATATGTCTATATACATACACATGGCACTAGGCCTAAGTCATGAAAGGCTGATAAATCAAGTACGTCTCACCTCATAGTTCGTGCCATAACCACAATACAATAACTATTCAAATAAAACAGTTCAACACTTTAAGATTAGATGTAACTTTATGGACAAAAGTTGACATCAATACTTCCATACAGCAAATCTACCAAATTACACTTTACAAGATTCCTCAAGAGCGTACATTATGTTGTCATGAAAACATGGTTCCAAGATCTTGCCAACTGTTTGTGGAGAATGGACTGAGAGAGTTAAATTTACCAAGTATTTCAAACATCTGTTAATATTAAAACGTAATTTCTTTATCTATTAACAAGTAATAATGTGATAAAAATACACAAGACATAAAAGAATTATAAATAATCACTTTTCAACAGTTTTCCTATTACAGCAATTACGATATTTAAATGTTTAATCTGGATCTTCCTCAAGCAAGCTGGCACCCACAGCTTATGGATGTGCAACTCTGTGCTACTGGTTAGCACTGCGGGTTCCAACTTTACGTTGGCTTGATCTATCGACATTCGGTAGGACTCCTTGGACGAGGGATCGGCAAGGCCTCTACCTGTACACAGGACAGCACAACACAGAAAAACGCGGACAAACATCCATGGCTTGAGAGGGATTCGAACCCACGGTCCCAGTGACCAAGGCCCATGCCTTAAACTGTGCGGCAACTGCAGACCCCATAGATTATCAAGGGAAATATAAATTTAATTGCAGATAAAACTGATGAAGTTATATGCGTTTGAAGAGCTTCAGTCTGGATAGAAAGGAAACTGTCCCTGCAATAAATTGAATGGGAAGTTACAGACTTCTATTTCTTCATGTAAGAGGAAATCAATGGTGTCAGGGTGATCATAAGATTAGAGAGGCCTGTTTCAATATGCGTTTGTGTATTGCATGTACTGTACCTGGATGCAGTTGCCATACTGGCGGTAGTATTTCCTTATTGCCAGATAAGCAACAGAAGTGTATTAACTAAGTACACTTGTTTAAAATGGAAAAGGTTAACAGATCAGTTTGGGATTTCACAAGCAGTCTTTGCTATATAATAAGTAATCTGACAGACGCTGGCACAACTTCTGCTTCGCAGTCATTAAGTCGTGCATCTCGAACTTCACGGCCTCATTTGGCGAATGTTACATTAGTTTTACTATGATTATGAGGAAATGCAAGTAAATATGTGGTGATTTATTTACACATATAGTTTTCATCAATATGTAAAACACTTAAGAGGCCCATCCACGTACGAGTCTGGCTCGGCGATCTTGACTCGTGAGCCGGGCTCGGATGTATTTCACCACACATGCATAGCAGACTCGGCTCATGACACCCCACCCACAAATGAGTTTGGCTCAATGGAACCCGAGCCGAGCCGGACTCGCAACAGACTCGTACGTGGATGGGCCGCTTTTTACACTGATATTCCAGTTTGGATAATTTGGTTTGTTGCACCATTTCCATCATACCTGACACATTTTTCAACATATTAAGTTAAACAAATTATATATAAAATATAAATAACATTGTCAGCTGTTAAGTAAAGCATAAATGTTTCTAGAATTTACTAATGAAATTCTTCATTAACATGGCACCACAACTAGAACAGAAATTTTAAAAAAAAACCCTCAAGACACACAAGCTGTTCTGCTTCACTGAACCATAATTTATGAACATGTTAATTTCATCTGTTCAGACAAGTATTCAGTCTGTGATTATATTAAAATGGCTAGAAGCTGTATTTATAATCAATTATAAAGACAAATTGTAAACAAACATTCCCAAAATGAAATGATATGAACGCATCATATGAATTTGAAACACTTTTGTTTATCGTGAGGAATTCTGGTCTTGAAGAGTATTGAATCTGCCCTAAACTGAGTGTTGAGTAGTGGAGTGTATCCAAACACCTGCAAATGTGAATAATTATTACAAAATTCAACACAAAACAGTGTATCTATGAGGGGCAGTCAAAAAGTTCCAGGAACTGTGTTATAGCGCTGTAATGGTAGGACATATGGCAACGCTTACCTAATCACCTTCAAAGTAGGACCCTTGCGCGCGCACACACACTTGCTCCATCGATCCTGCCATTGTTGGAAGCACCGGCAGAAGGCTTCGTTTGGAGTTCAGCCGTCACATTGGATTTGATGTCCTCCATGGTTGTGAAACGCGTCCCCTTGAGGCCCATTTGCAGAGTAAGAAGTCACTCGGAGCGAGATCCGGAGAGTATGGTGGTTGGGTGATGACGGGAATGCTTTTCTCGGCGAGGAATTGCTGCACAACCAGCGATGTGTTGAATGCAATGGCCGAACTCTGTAAGATTCCAAACGAAGCCTTCCGCCGGTGCTTCCAACAATGGCAGGATCAATGGAGCAAGTGTGTGTGTGCACAAGGGTCCTACTTTGAAGGTGATTAGGTAAGCGTTGCCATATGTCCTACCATTACAGTGCTATAACACAATTCCGGGAACTTTTTGACTGCCCTACGTATAACAATGATAAAAACAAAATTCTTGTTTTTTAAGCTAGTGTTAATAATGAAATAGATGTAAAAACTTGTACTGGAATAAATTTGGATTTTACAAGATCACAACAAAAGGAAAGCAATGGTCTGTGATAAAATATTAAAATCTTTATATCTCTACACGACTTAAAATCTGTTTCCCAAAAATCTATCAGAGCTTTGAAGCTTGTGGATGTTTTTCAATCAATAATTAAAATATTGTTTTAAAGCTCACATTTGCAACATAACTGGCATGCAGTAAATATATGAAAGTATTTACAATTATCCATATTCTAATGTCTTTCAGAAATGGGAGACAAACTGAGAGTGCTAAATAATTTCATATACATTATGGACGTACCTGTGTAAAAAATTTAATACATTTGTGTCTTTCTTTAAAATGTGTATCATCTTCAGATAGGGATACTGGGCATCCCGGACAGCGAAAAGTCCAGCGAGAAGTCACCTGACACGAGAAAATAAAAAATAAGGAATGTTTGTTCTACAAATGACAAGTATGTGCAAATATACCTTCAGCATGTATTTGGCTCAAAACTTCTTATCCTTACTCTGCCCTTCATAGATTAGGCTTAAGCATGTTCAAACTTCAGTCATTTTTTTAATGAAGTTCTTATGTCAGCAAGCTTTGGGAGTCTATCATTATCCATTATTTTTCTAGTCGTCCATTCTTTCATTTACCACATCAATATTTAGTTTCTTCCATGTATCTTTCCTATTAATTATGTCTAATCTGCTATATCCCTTTGCATTTCTTAACAATATGATTTTAGCTATCTGAATTTCAATATCATCCAAGAAATACAAATGAAATTTTCCACAGTGATTATAAATATATTTCCTTTAAGCTAACCTAATGAAAGCAGCAGCCCTACATGAGGGGCTAATTCAGAGGGAAGTTGGTAGAACGTTCCATAATAGCACTGGTGAAAAGCAGAGCAGTATTTCTCATAGACATAATGTTATAACGAATAACAATTAGTCCTCACATAACATGTAAATCAGTATTTTAATAGTTGTAACCAATCAATGATTTTCATATAACCATTGCACGGAGAAACCGGGGAAGCCCCGGAGGAAAACTCCGTGTTGCCCAGACCACGGCGTTGCCCAACACAAGTTATAAATTTGGGCACGGCCGGGAATCGAACATGGGACCCCAGAATTATAAGGCCAGCGTTACACGGCTCTAAGTCAACAGTATAGTACTGCTAGTTCTGAACTGTCTTCACTCACCTGGGCTCTGCTGTAACCTCACACATGATCTCTGGTGGGGCATTATTTAATGTACTCCTAACATTTGATGTTAGAAAAATGTAATGAAAATATACAACTTTTGTTAGGTACTTTCTGCGGAACATAAGCCAACAACACGATGGTTAATAATGAGACGCTCGAGCCTTGACTTTTTAAATTTCAGTCAAGAAATTCCCTGCATTTTACGGAACCTAAAGTTCACTGATTTCCACGCCACACATTAATCTCAGCTTGTATTTACCTTGACTGGTGGCTTCCTTGTGATGTGCGAAATAAGGAAGTTCATTGCAATGTCTTCACAGTTCATGTACTCATCCACTTTGTCTCTTACAGCCTGAGGCAGCCAGTAGGAGTAGAGATACATATAATACTTGTGAAAGAATGCAGCACCTGTCAATTACGTAATTATAAATACCCAGATGTTAAAGACATGTTCGGAAAGTAAACATCCTTAAAGTAGGCAAAATCTAAAAGAATTCATAGATACAATCAGAAATCTAATGTCCTTTTATTCCACGTAGCTTTATATTATAACATCTTAATTCAAAGTTTGTATAATCTAGAATTCAAATTGTAGTTCACAATTTCATATGCTAAAACTTGCTTCTCTTTTTACTTCTCATTATGTAATAATACATAAAATGCACAATGCTACATTTGGCACCACTATATACTATGATTCTTTGCTTCATTCTGCCTCCACCCTCTCCTCTTTATTTCCTTCTGAGCCACAGTATATGTGACTGGTGCAGGCCTCAGTAGACAATTCTACTGGAAAACATTTTATCAGAAAAGCATGAAAGTATCACGTATAGTGTCTGTTTTATTAATCATAAAAATTCACAATCAGAGCTGTTTAAGCTGACGATGACAGTTCTTTGTAATATGTAAAACTGTTTTTTGGATTTTGTCCACTATTTTAAATTCTTCTTCTTCTTTTTCCGGTTTAACCCTTTACGGGTCCCCAACTTTTCAGTTGGCTCGATCTATGAACATTCGGTAGGACTCCTTGGATGAGGGATCGGCCCGTCGCAAGGCCTCTACCTGTACACAGGACAGCACAACACAGAAAAACATCCATGGCTTCAGTGGGATTTGAACCCATGGTCCCTGCGACCAAGCGGCACAAGACATACACCTCAGACCGCGCGTCCACTGCAGACCTCCTATTTTAAATTATAAAATAATAAAACAAGAAAGCAGTGTTTCAGAAGCCTCTGCCTTCAGGCAAAAAGGGGGAAAAGTGGACAGAAAGCATGTCTCTTTGGCCATCTGGTTGAGCTAGCCTCAGACCTGGACAGCTAGAACATTTAAGTGTTACGTGTTGTAAAATAACTGCTCCTAACCTGTTAACACCATAGACAGCTCACATGAGTAATTGGAATTGTAGAGCCATCCTCCATAATTGAGGTCCCAGGCATGGAACCTACCAGGAAAGCCAACTACTCTGTCCCGCTGTTCTCGCCACACCCTGCCATCAAAGATTTAATAGCAATTATTAAATTATACTATGAAAGGAAGAACTATCTTAGGCTGGGGCCACACGACCGTACATAGTATGTCCGTTGTAACGCACATCGTGATGTCCGTCATAGAATTATGAAGGGGCACATAGGGTATAACACACGAAGCACGCGGTCGTGTGGCCCCAGCCTTAAGTGTACTATATGGTTACTTACACCATCTTTTGTAAATAAAGTTGAACTCCCTATTACATTACACTTTTACTCTTATTAATGACAGCCTCCAAATTGCTTAAACATTTAATTGTATAAATATAACTTCCCACATTTCTTTATAATTCTGATCTGAATTTAATATTTTGAATTTCAGTTTCCCAGGACTGAAACATTTGTACTGCCTGCTACCACTGGTATAATCATTTGCTTCTACCATGGTGTGGTAATGACATACTGGGAACGACCCGTTCTTCAAGTGCCTGAGCACTGCGGGTCCCAACTTTTCGTTGGCTTGATCTATGGACATTCGGTAGGACTCCTTGGAAGAGGGATCGGCCCGTCGCAAGGCCTCTACCTGTACACAGGACAGCACAACACAGAAAAATGCGGACAAACATCCATGGCTTGAGTGGGATTCGAACCGATGGTCCCAGCGACCAAGCGGCACAAGGCCCACGCCTCAGACCGCCTGGCTACTGTGGACCCCCGGTAATGACATAGAGGAATTAAAAATGGCAGATGTCAGACATAACAGTTCAATGAACTTTATGTTAACTCTTGCATTGTTTTTAACTGTCAATAAAACACATCTTTGCACTGTAAAGTTTAAACTGAAGGGAATGAGCGAATCAAAAAGAAAGAAAGAGACTGGGTAAGCAAAAGCTGATTATTATATTTACAGTGATTTAATTGTAATATATTCTATGCAGAGAAGGCATAAAAATTGGATAAAATACTTATAAATGGAGTTTTGAGTTCTAACTTTACTGGCACGCACAGATGCTGGGAATAAATGCTTACCTAAAGCCAAAAACAATTTCATGATGTCGTAGGTGTGTATCATCGTCTACTGAAAGCACGGCTTCAGTTTCAATGGCACTATATGGGAGAAACCTGTTGTTCAGGCTGTTTCGACTTGCTTTCACCACCTACAATAAAATAAATACGCATAAAAATGTCACAAACCAAACGTATGCATATTATCTACAAAATAAAATTGAACCTCCCCAAGTTACAGTACTTGTTTGTTATATTTACTTAATTCACTTTGTTCATAGCACTAATCGGTGATAAACAGTCCTAATTTCCCATACTATTCAAATAAATAATAAATTATTTTTTATGTAGGATTGTTGGATTTCTGGATGTTCTCCATCATCTAGTATTCTGAAGAAAAAAACAGTTTTGGAAAGTAGATCTGTTTCTGTACTAGGTGAAAAGGCAAGAAGGCCTGTCAGAAACATTTAATCCCATTCACTATACGCCATAGTGTCTGTTTGAAATGATGACTGAAGTTCAGAAATCCAGTAAGATTAACTGTAACATACCATCATCAGAACTGTTTACAATTGATTTTTCATGGCAAAGGTCATTTATACAAATCTATAATTTTACCAGTTGTTTCGTATGGATGTAAAACTTTGTCTCTCATTAAGGAACGAACACAGACCGAGGATGTGTGAGAACATGGTGCTTAGGAGAATATTTGGACCTAAGCGGGATGAACTGACAGGAGGCCAGAGTCAACTGCATAATGAGGAGGACCATAATTTGTACTCTTAATCAGGTATTATTAGGATGATGACAGTGGCATAAATGTATGGGGAAGATGAAAAATGTGTCCAAAATTTTGTTTGGAAAGTCTGAGGGGAATAGATCACTCGGAAGACATAGAAGTAGATGAGAGAATATTACTAAAATGGATCTTACAGAAACAGGGACAATGTGGACTGAAATCATCCGGTTCAGGATAGGAAACAGGAGGACATATTTTTGTGAACATGATAATGAACCTTTTGATCCTATAAAAGACAGCAAATTTCTTGACTAGCGGAGTATACTATTAACTTTCATGAAGGACTCTGCTCCATGGAGTTTGTTAGTTCCAATATAATATTTTCTCATAAATGAGAGAAGTATTTATTTGAAGATTTTCGTCTTCTGGGTTGTTGCGCTGTGTAGTCTGGTCGATGTTAACCAACGCTTCAGAGGTCTTACTGCCTCCGTCATCGCCCTGATGACAGAGGCAGTATGACCTCTGAAACGTTGGTTAACATTGACCAGACTACACAGTGCAACAACCCAGAAGACAAAAATCTTCATACTCACCACTGTGAGAACCTCAAGTCTTACATAAGTATTTATTTATAATAAAAATAATTTTAAAATTCCTTTAAGACACTATGTAGATGATGCATATTCTTTACCAACTCCACCAAATTTTTGGGCAATCAGGAGTTTAACAGTAAAAACTGACAACTGATTTATGTTGATAACACAACAGGATTCACACATTAACATCATTACAATGATCATCTTTTAAGGTGCAATGGACGATTCTCCAAATGCACCATTAATGCATATAGCTATTGCTATGTACTGCCACTATATAAAATGAGAGAAAAGATGTTTACTTCAGGCTGAAGATATGAATGATGGTATACTACCTTCAAATAAACCAAAGTTTCAAATCTCCATCTACTCATCACGCTCATTTTTCTACCTCATTCCACATTATATTACATTTAAAGATAAAACCATGTTTAAATAACCTCAGAATCACTCAAATCAATCCATTAACATTATCACCGATTGCAAACGACATTATGGTAAGTTTCAAAGCTAGACTTAAATTATTTATGACACTGCGAGAGATGCTTAACCTTTTGTAACACTAAATATATAATATATGAAGATCTGCTGAACTCACGTGTATGGGGACTCCTATGTCAGGCCAATGTAAATCTTCTAGAGGTGGTTTGGGAGAGTTCCATATGACAACAACTTTGTTCAGGTATGGCAGTCCATACAATCTACTCAGAGAATTAATCAGTACCTGCACAGTTTGAAAATATCTGTTACAAAACTCTTTCTAGTGTTCAGGAAATTATGTTTTGGTCAACTGTCAGATTCTTCATATAAGCCATCTTTCTTCAAGTGATGACCATAAATTACAAATGTTTGATAATAAAGTGCTGGGGACTTAGACCCAAGAAGAATTAAGTAGTTAACAGTTTAGAATCCTACATAATGAGGATCTTCATAAATAAAACAGGTTAATCAATATTGTTACAATAACAACATCAAATATGTTATGATGGACTGAACATGTGGCTCAGAATTGGGTGACAAAAAATGAATACAGATTTATGAATGTAGGATAACATTAAGACATTTTGGAGACACAAGTTGTGAGAAAGAGAGGCAAATGAAACACATTCAAGATCATGTCCAGTGGTAGGTTTTGGAATGAGCAGTGTTGGACCCTCAGGTTCCACCATCAGAGTTTGTATAATAAGTTTTCATATTATAAAACTGTTTATGAAATTGAACATAGAAAGGAGGTTTGGTATAGTATCGTCTTCTTATTATTGCGTCATCTCTGAACGAAGGTTGGCTATCTACATGGCGAACATTGTCCTCGAGACTTCTGCTTGAAAGATATCTATTGAGGTGCATCCGAACCATCTTCTTAGGTCTTTCATCCAAGAGTTTTGGGGTCTACCGACGGATCTTTTTCCTTGGATTTTGCCCTCGATGAGGAGTACACTATGATATGGCCGAAATACCGGACCTTTCTTTCTTTAACGGCAAGCAGTAGTTCCTTTAGCTCCCAGGGTATTCGTAGTATACGTCGATATAAATACATTTTGAAAGCTTCGATTCTTTTCTCCATGGGAGAATCAAGAGTCCAGCTCTCGCATCCATAGAGAAATGTAGAAAACAGTGTAGTATAATCTCAGTTAATTGTTCTATATAACTGAATTACAATATAATTAATCAGAACCATCAGTTGTACCAAACACGAATGCTAAGAATGAAGAGAAGTCAAAAACAGGCTGAAGTAATATTAAAGAAGTATAAAAAATATGCATGCAGCAAATACAAAATATTAATGTAACTCAATCAGTACATTGTAGTTGTAATATTTATGATAAAAGCAACCATCCAAAGACAGTGTGACTTGATGAAACTTGGTGGTAGGCTTGATACAAGGTCTATAATTGTTGGATGGGTCAAAGTTAACATACCCAGGCAAGTCTGCATGCCTTCAGCTGTGCAACTCCATCACCAAGCCAAGCAGTCCAAGACTGGTAATCCCCAAGCAGAGTATCTAATTATTCACAAGCCTCAAAAGACAAGACAACCAGACCGCTTCTGCAGTAATGATATAAAACAAGGGTAAGAAGCAGAAGGAGGAACTGGATAAAGAATTTTTAGGCCAAAACAGGCAATAATTTGCCAAACTCATGAGGACAAGAAGACTGTAAAACAGTATATTCGTGCTAACCTGTTCTCTTTCATATGTCAGCATAACGATGGTAAACTGCTCCCGGGGATTGTTTCCTCCGAGACTTTCTGAAAATTCCTTTCCAGCACCACCAGCACCCCTTCCGATGGGGCGGAATCCCATACCAGAACCTAGAAGCGTTACAATTTAGGAACACCTTGCAGATACAAAGATCACAATAAAAGTGCAATGAAGAAGGCAGTTAAGTGGTTAGCATACAAATTTAGTATTCAAAGGGTTCTGAGTTTGGTCTTGATCACAATACATGTACGGTAAAAATATGTCAGTATAATAGAAACTTATCACCTGATGATGGGAGTACAACCAATTCCTGAAATATTGTGCATATTAAATATGCTTCACAATGGACAATCATGTCATAAACCCCAAGAGAATCAATATGATGTTTAATTTATTCACAAACTTCTTTATTATTTTATTTCATAGAAGTGTAAGAAGAAGCCTTTAAAAACATTTTTTTTAATTTTCTTATTCCACTCTCATTAAAATTCCTAAGTCAATGATGTTTTATTTCTTTTAGTGATATTTACATACAAGTAACTGATCTTTGTATATAAATGTACCATCTTTTAAGAGCAGTAAGGTAATTTTACTACTTACCAACAAATTTTGCATCAGACGGCAAAAGTATATCAAAGGGTAATTGTGGGTAGAGCCAAAATGGATCACCCCAGTCATTCCACATCTCGTGACCCTGAAGTTATGAAACATATTTAATTACTATCGATTAAAAACAGTCAAAAATATTGCAACTTCCTTTAGTTAAAGATAGTACTTTACGCAGTAATCTGTTTACTTGCACAATTTCCTTATGTCCACATCCATGATTCATGCGAGCTCTATATGAACACAGGAGGTCATAACAGACACAACTTTATTATCAATGCTGTGGCTTAAAAAATACTGTGCACTATCTACATAGCCATGAAGAAAGGAAATGTGTTCCAATGCAAACAAATGACAATCTATGTGCATTTTAAAATGTTATCCATAAAAGTGTACTTACTGTGATTTTACAGCAGCTGTTGAAAGACGTGTTCTACAACATGCAGACATTTCCTACTAATGCAACATCTCCTATGAAAGAATTTTAATTCTCTCTGTGATTTATATTATAACACCTATATTTCAGTATCTACAGCCTACAAATAATAAGGTTTATTATTAGGATCTGACTCCTTCCTGCACAACTATACATATATACAAGGCTAATAACCTTGCACCGTAAAAAGGAAGATGTTTCGAAACCTCAATCAAAGCCTCGGAGAGAATGGACCTAACAGAGGACCGAATTGAAGAGGAGAATTGAGGAGGCCATGGAACAAATAAGGACCGGAGAGCCATAGAAGAAGAAGAATTTCAACTGGTTATTTCCCAGCTCACAGGAATAATACGACAGTCACAGCATATGCAATGAAATGAACTGAGCATTTGAGTGTGTGGTGCGCATGTAAAGAAACAGATATACAAACCAGTGCATGCCATTTTATTGTTCATCAAACCAAAACCCTTAAAACTGAAGCTCACAACAGCAGCAGTAGGACAAGAGACCCACAGAAAAGTATTAAAGATGGATTTCTTAACAGAAATCCTCTACTTTCTGCTTCTACGATTTAATGACACACAGCTACTGGATGGACGAATTAACTAAAACTCATATGCTGTTATATTTAAAATTAAATCCGTGGCATAACAGGTCCAGAGAGTCAAAGCCGACTAGCTTGACTGCTGGCCTCACGTTCACATGCCTAAGCAGAGGTGAACGATCATCCAACCAGATATAGGGTGACGTGTGGTCAGCACGACGAACCCCCAGCCATTGCTAGTTTTCATGACTGGATTACGCTACTCATTGTAGCTCCCCAATTTCCTCACGATGCTGGGTTGGCACCGGTCCCATACACTGGTCGAAAGCTTCTCCCCCGAGACTCGAACCAGCGCGTATTCCGTATCACCGGTCCGAAGCATGATGCCTCAGACCGTGCGGCTACGGCGCGGGACTATGCTGTTATATTTAACTAAAATAAATATTTTAACATTCAGTAATGTCACAGTAAATGAGAAGATAATTATTCAGTAAATATGTTAATAACGTTCTACAGAGCCATAAATGTGACATGCCGACGCAGTGAAGTCTGGCTCAATAAATATTCTCTCTACTTAACACACAGAATTCAATAAAAACTATAGGGCAAAACAAAAATATTTAAATAAAGCATACTGTGACACAAGGGAGTGGATCTTGCAAAACAGAATACCTAAAGCATTGAATCAACAGAAACTTTTATACAAAAATACAAATTAGAATTTTGAATATTATTAAATAACCAAATAAACAATTTACTTTCATACTAGAACGGCAAGCTTCTGAGCTATACATACTGGTTGCTTATAAAAATGGATGTGTTGGAATAGTGTTTGTGGAATGAAAACATCCTACATACATGTAGTGTCCATAGCTTTCCTATGTGAGCCAGCAAGAACTAATGTCAGGCACCAAAAAACAGCATTATTATAGCTTTATTCTTATTCTTTAGCATTTGGCAAGGTCTACTCTCTTTTTTTTGTCTATGGTCAGCTTTGACCATCATTACCTATCAGGGTTTTCTTGCGAAAGTACCACAGTGGTTTCGCCTTGCCTTCCGTGGCCAGTCTTTATCCACCAGACTGGAAGAGAAAGGACGCGGACAAACATCCGTGCCTTGAGTGGGACTCGAACCCACAGTCCCAGAGGCCAGGCGCACGAGGACCATGAATCAGACCGCGTGGCCACTGCGGCCGGCGCTTCCTCATTATTATAACTTCATAATTTATTATATTTATGGTTTATTTAATGACACTGACAATACCTTCAATAATATATATACATATAGTGTGAAATGAGAGAATGCTAAGTTAATAATGTGGGAAGGATAAGGAAGAAAGCATCCATGGCCTGATTTAAGGCACTTCTCTGCAGAGGACTGAGAAAAACCATGAAAAACTTCAGACAGGATATCCAGGCTCCAAGCTAAATTTAAATCTAGGCCTCTTGAATATGAAGCACAATAACATATAACACAGACATCTTGCCTGCTCCTTGCAACTAAATTTATTCAACACACTTGAGCAACACCAGATTTATGATCAGATGTGCAGAAAAATGAGGTAACAAACCTGTGTTAGGAAGACTGTGTAGTTGCGCTTAAAACGAGGCGAAGGATAAGGTGGTTCAATTGGCCCAAGACTCTCTTCTGGTTCTGTTTCTGATACCACAGCTTCAGTTCGTAGAGGCTGCCGAGCAAAAGTAGATTGAAATAAGTTAACATCAAACACAAAAAAATTGAGAATGACCTATTCTTGATCCTACACACAACTAACAACATGCCACAGGATATCTTTCTTTAAAAATTCAGTCACTCTGGTGATAAATTCCCCTGAAAGGGTCATTACTGCATTCATAGAGGTTTGAAGTTTTCACAGCGGTGAGTCTGAAGATTGTTGTCTTCTGGGTTGTTGCTCTGTGTAGTTTGGTCGATGTTTACCAATGTTTCAGAGGTCCTTCCTGCCTCCATCATCGCCCTGATGATGAAGGCAGACTCTACAGCAAACTACAGCTTTATGCACAGAGCCTGTAAGTTACTTAACAAACATATAGCATATTTACTAAACTTACTGTGAATGTAGAATTGAATACACTGGGTGAAGGTTCATCTTGTATGGGAAGAGGAGGGATGGCAAGCCTGTCCCGCAAGACTGCCACAACAGTATCCACTACACTCTGCACTGAAGAGCAATAACGTTCCCACACCAGACGACCCTGACGTCGTAATGATAATAAGTCTGAATCCGATATGGAACGAAGAAAGAAATGCATCTCTGTGATCCGTGCCTGTAATGCAGAATTGAATACAACATTGTGTTACAAAGCACTGAAATCGAAATTCATTGAGATGTTTCCAACAACAAAATATTTTCTCACTGTTGCAAAGCAAGCAAAGGTAAGAAAGGTAAAACACACTGAAAAGCAACAGATATATAAATCTAAGTACATCCACAATTTTTTTTCTGATTTACTGCATCACAGTTATAATTAATGATACTAATGAAAGAAAATGGAGAAAATCATTATGTGAGGCGTATTTACAACCTTGCAGAGCACCTACTAAAACAGCCCCATTTGTCCAACTGTGTCTATCTCTTCATATGCATAACACAACTCAAGAAAGCATAAACCGATTTTGATGAAACTTGATAATGGAGAATTTTGCAAAAAACTCATCTTTACAAAGTTAATTTAGATGAAACAGTTTTAATGACCACTTTACTTACTTAACAGCTTATTTCATTATACAAACACATACATTCATTGGTAACACTGCATATAATTTTACCAATGGCATAATGAAACCCATCATTTAGTAAAAAGAAAAATTTTCCACATTTATCCCTGAATTAAACTGTATCATTTGGATTTTGACGTAGTAATTAAAGACAATTAAATTATTCACTCACCCTTGCACTCTATGATTCAAGTGCCACTGCCACACAACTCTTGTAATATTATTGAAACTAAATAAATCAACTTCTGAAAACACCCTACTTTCATTTGCAAGAAAAATCAGACTTTGGTAGATGATCATAGGGTTACAAATTACACTGAAAACACAGCTCTGACTGCTGTCACCATTCACAAATGTCAAATTGTAGTGAACATGCCTGAATTGTTATGCTATGCATATGTTTCCTAACTTGCCTTACCAAACCTGAAAAAGAAATGTGGGGAAGGGAACCTGATTTTGCTGCAGTGCACAGAGAAGGTAAGTCTTTTCTTGGGTTATTATATATATCATAACATTTAAAATTACTAGTGTAAACAAACAGCAAGGTCATATTTTAAATGATTATGATTGCATTATTTCATATTGAATATTTCAAACTAGTATAACACTATACTTACTAATATTTTAGCCCCAGTTTAATGTAACACTTAAAGTAGATAAGCAAAATTCCAGAAATTTATTTCCAATCAAGGGGTAAGATAATTATTCCCTTAGTGCCTAGTACCATGCCATTCTCACCTACACCAATAACATTTACATACTTGCAACACACCTTTGGCAGAAAGAGAACAGCTTTGTGCCAGTCTACAACTTCTCCATAAGCCATCTCAAGTTGATCTCCTCCCAGCAGAACAGGTATTGCACCAGCTTTAACTGCTTCATACACTCGTATCTGCACCACTGTGGTCGACACCAAGCTAAAATTTGTTGGTGCCATTACGAGAGCAAATGTCGACTCTTTTAAAACATTTATTCGAGATGATTCCGTTCCACAAAGGGCCCATTCTCCCCACAAGTCTGAGAAATCAGAAACCTTCCTCATACTGGGCAGCCACCTACCAGTATTAAATTTTTTAGTTGTCTCTTCAGTGTTTGGCGAACTAACTAGCATGGAACACTCAAAGTGAAAGAGGAATTGGTCGGATGTCGATCCATATGCCATTCCATGCAAGTGTTCCATTATAAATCTGTTAATATTATCCTGAATATCAATACCACCAGCTTCTGTTTTTGATTCAGACATATAATCTTCCCTATGGTCATTGAGGTCAGCATCATTCACATCATCAACAGTGTCAGCAATACTCTTTACCACGGCTTCCTTCAGTGTGACTAGATTTGATGAATAATGGAATTCTCCTTGAAATGATAAGAGGTATCGTCGCCGCGCAGGCAACATAGATGGGCAGTCTTGCCACACATCTCCTCCTGGAGGACCCAAAATGGGAGGAGTTACAACATCGAAACCACGGCGAAATGTGGATCGCGTAAACGTTGACTGAACAAGCATGGCTCGTCCAGTATCAATGCCAACAAATATGTCACGCCCACCAGTTGACGTATCCCTGCTATCATGGACACTACTGCTGCGAGCAAAATTGAGTAAAATGTGATTCCGTCCATCCCCTCCCCAATACGGAAGATTGTGCAAAAGCTTTTCTTGGATAGATTTCGCAGGTACTTTAGTGTCATTATTATGAATATTCTTTCTACCAGATACAGCTAAAGCTTCACCAACTAATACTAAATATACACACGCAACTTTTGGATCAGATGTGAAATGTGGATTATAACCAAGAGTCTGCTTCAGTGTGGTTTTCACAAAACCTTCAACTTCCCAGCCTGGTGCAATGACTGGATAGTGATCAGGATCATAAAGGAAGACAGGAAAACCAGAAGTAAGTGAACACCGGGAGAAATCAAAGCAATTATACATTCGGCAAGAAAGATTCTCTCCTGCTCTTCTTGGGAGAAATTCTTCAGGGGGCGAAGAAGGCAGGAGTCTCCGAGGAAGAGCTAGGTCAGGAGTATTCCTCTGAAGGGCTTCCCTCTGAGCAACTTGGGCCTACACAGAATACAAAATAATGATTAGCAAATTAACAAAGGAGCTTCACTACCAATTCTAAATAAACTCATATGTACAGCTTGGTTCAAAAGTGACATCCCTGCAATAACATACTTGTTCAACTGAAATCTTGAGTCGCTCAAGTTCTGTCTGCTGATGAATCATTTCCAGTTTCAGCTCATCAATGCGTTGCGTGAAACCAACCACCTCTAATTGCAACCGCTGTCTCTTGGCCTCAAGATCACGGAGTTCTGCACTAACTGATCCTGGAAATGAAAACAAGGAAAGTCATATACAAAACAGATATTTAAACATAGCAGTTACATCTCTTGGTAGTGAATGTAGCAAGAATGATATTTATTACATGCTGTATGAGCATATACAATAACCTCTCCTATAAAAATAATATTAGGCTTTTTACTATTTTTAGTATCACACTTCATGGTTTCCAATTTTGTATTTGGGATGACTGAAGTTGAAGAAATAAACAGTACATCTGTACAACATAACATTTTGTTGATGCATTGTTCCCTGCTATAAACAATCCTATTTGAACACAATTCTCAAATGTGCCTCTTAACCTAAATGGCAGTAAACTCAAAGGTTCCATAATACCAAACTGAAAACCAATGTCCAAGATAAGAGAAGTCAGTTTAAAGAAGTTTTCCCACCAAAATTCTATATGCATTTATCCCCCTTATCCAAGCAACATGTCCTGCATAATGGCACCTTAACCTAAACCTGCATAAATCATGAAGTTTATTGTTATTTCATATCCTAACTGCCTAGATACTTCATTTCTCTCTGCCTGAAATATAAACTTTCTTTATTTTACTTGTATATTCATTATGAACATTTTAAGCACTACTTCACTGCATGACCCCTGCAGCCAAAATGTTATGAATATGAAATGCTTGATAAATGGAACATATGAGACACGTAGTGACAAATTATGATTTATAAGAAAGCAATATCTGGCCTGCCTCCAGGGAGACAAGTTCAGTCCTATTAATCTCTGATCATCCCTCGAGTTTTGAAAAACAGCAAGTTTCACCATTTCCCACAAAATGGTTCATGTTAACTTTATGCAGAAGCAGCATAGAAGCACACAGTCCATTGCCACTATATAACTAAAATAAGAATTTCAAAATACATAAAACTACTTTAACACATAGCCTATTCCATGTAAACATTAGTGTGTGGTGTCATGAGCTCAGTATTGTCCAAGCAAGAGTAAAAGTTAAGCTGTACCACTATGTGCTTGGGATGAGAGGTGATATAGCTCCTACTCATTCTTAACCTTGGCACTAGGTGGGGGAGAGTAGTTACCATCATGTCACGGCCCCACTTTACCCCAGTACCCACTGGATAGGAGGATAGGTAGGCCCCAGAGGCTACAGGAAAAATCCTCTACCCCCATTGGGGATCAAAACCCGGGTCATCCAGTCCATAGCCAGTCACTATACTGACTGAGCTAACCCATCTCTTTTTTGTCCAAGTACATTCAATTTAAATGTGAGTTCACTATACGTATTTTACTACTTTTGAAGTAGTCCTTTTATTTTACTACATTCTGCTACAAGAACTGTCCATATCTGACCTGAAATTTTGATTACAGCATATCAATATACTGCCTTACCTATTACATATTAGGCAGTCTTCTCAATATATAAAACATAACTATAGCTTATATATGGTATACTGTGAAAAAAAGACAATGATCCAGATCTTTGCTTTCCAAGGAAGAATGAAAATTCTGGGTCAAATTTTAACTTTCTACATGCAATCAGAGGAGTAGAGTAAAGGTTTATTTCACATTTCTTCTACTCAGAGTTTCAGGTCAGAGGCATAAAGCAGGTGAAAAAAGTAAAGCTCCATACAATCTAAACCGTACCACAACATTACAAAAATAGAAATTGCAAAATATAAAAGAAACCTTTAATCCTCAACATTTCTTCTATGCGGAGTTTCAAGTCAGATGCTTTGAGAGTACTGAAGTCTTCAAAAGCCTCCAGTTTGGATCGTGTACGGTGCACATCTCCATTTGGCACGTTGCTTTCAACCTATTTAAATATAATTAGACAAGAAACTTATAATTGTAATTACACAAATAATCTGACACGATTCTAAACAAATGTTGATGGGTGCAAGAGTACACTCACATTTAAGTAACAAATTTCAGTTTAAAAATTACTATCAAAATATGATATGACTTGAACATCCTATGGAAAATCAAAGAATGAACAGAAAAAAGTAATTATACTGTTGACATTTATACATGACCTCTTTTGGATTCAATGGTATGCAGTTATATAAATGCCTGAAGTCAAACTACAAAACAAATTCTAAAAAAATTAGGTTGATAATAAAATGTGGAATACAAAATGAATTCCACAGGACAACACTAAATGTTAAATTATGCATCCAGTTTCATATGAAATACAGCAGGCAACTTCCTCATATAATCTATCTGCATTTGCGATTAAACAAGGCTAAAGCAACTAGAATAAATAACTGCCTGCTTGAACATTTCACGTGCTATACCATAATTAAACAAAAACAATATGATTTCAAATTTAAGTACCATAATAGAATAAAGTCTTTGTAACATACATGAATAAGATGTACCTTTGACAAGTAGTAATGTGTAATAAGTGGAACGATGATCAGCACAACTGAGACCAGAATTATGATACGAGACAACTTCACATGACTCAGCCAGTGACAAAATACCTCCTTACTGCCAAGGGCATGGTATGATGATGCACCACCCAAGTCCAGTATCATTTTGCATTAGAATGGCATCACTTCATACATCTTTCACTCCACTTCATGATTTGAGTCAGTGCTGTGTTGTGCCATAAACTACAGCAAAACATAACCTCAGGTTCAAAGCCTTGTTTACTATCAAACATTGAAATTAAATATAAAGTAAACATTTCACCAATTTCAAGAAAGGTAAGGAATGTTTACCACATTACTTTACATATATTTTTATATTTTCTCTCATATAATACTTTCGTGTTAACTTCCATCATAGGTGTAAAATAACAGTTCGCATTTTAAACCTGACACTTGTACTTGAAGTCGTCCTCCATTTTTGTTGCGCTTAACCTGTTCTCTGTGGATCGATCAACGAATACTCCAAGTTCTTCAAATACACATCAGTAGATAGCAGAACGGTCTATTTACAGATCTCTTGATTAATGTTTCTGCCGATGAATATCGATGTTTAATTATCAAGTGGCCTTCGAGTGATTTTTTTAATATGTGTTAATCATCACAGATTATTAAAAACATATGTAATCATAGGACCATTTGGTCTCATCTACGTTTGCATAGTTCTACCAAATCTATTTTTGATCTCGTCCCTTTTCTGTTGTGCAGATTTTTCATGATGAAGGGAAGATCGAAACCCAGTTTATTTAGGGATGTTTATGAACAGCCCTATACAGAAACGACACGTTTGAAGCTGTATAAAAGTACTAAAGGTCAGTGTCTAAATAATAATTGTGTATTTATAATTTGTGATATCCATGTGCATGAGATTTGTTTTGATAGTTTGTGACGAACGTACTGAAAGTAAGTGTATCGAATGTGTGCCTGTATTGTTAAGTGTATTCTGTTATAATCGTTTTATGATGTGAAGAATTGTTTCTTGGTGCATCTACTAATATTCTTGCATTCTCAATAAAGTGCTTGGAGTACAGAGATATGAGAATTTATTCATTTTCAGTAAACTGTGTTGCAAATCCGTAACAAGTCATCACTTTTACTACAGGCCATATTATTTATTTACTTTGGATGTAGGTTCACATATTATGTAACCTTTCATACTCAATGCAGAGATTTTAAATTTTCGTTTAGTGCTTCCAGTGCATTCTTTGTTTCTTTCTTGGAAGTCCATCCTGGTGAACCCAGATTTTATCTCTGAGTCATTGTGCAATTCAGAAAAGTATCTAATTCAGATTATTATTGATGAATTATAAATGTATATTCAAGTGTACCTCTGTCTGTTGCTTTCGGATCCATTTGGCACAAACCTGCAGTGTCCCAGCTCTTCACTTCAGTTGTCTTGCATATGTTGATTGATCTGCTTCGATGTCAAAACATGTGTTACACTTGATGGGTGCCAGGATATGCATCACTCATCTGCCCTGTTTTGAATCTTTCCCATCGTTTGAAAACTTTTCTTTGCCTAACGCTGTTATTGCCATACTATACTGTCATTCTTCCATAAATGATACTAGTTTTCTCTCCCTTTCTGCCCACAAATCACCTCACAGGTCATTGTTCTTTGAATTGAGCAGCCGTGGTAAATGTATCAGTTATTGTAACTATTCAAGAAGCAGTGACAACTGGCAAAACAAATGAAGGTTGAGGCATATGTTCATAATTTTTTCAGTGAAGTCAGCATCACTTTTGAAGTAAAGAAACATTGTCCTTTAATTATTAATTTTCCTACATACATCATTTGTCTTATTGACCTACTCATACTGCCTCTTTCTTCAGAGAAGTTTTATTGTAGGATGTAATTGTGGTTTCATTAGTATTTAGCTGTAACTAATGTAATTTAAGTTCATTGTTTAACCTTCTTGTCTGTTGGCACTGTTGAAAATATAAATCTCAGATGTTCATATGACATTTATATAGTAAGCCATTATAACTCATCCAAATATCTTGCCAAGTACAGGCTCATTGATTGTGTTCACTTTCCGGCAAGTTAACTGTAAATAACTATTTGAATAAATCTTGTTAAGTATGTCATACTGAAGATAATTTTGACTATGAAAAACATGTACAGGCAGTTTGGATATGATCCAGCGACTGTGTTTATTGAAGAAGCTTCCAGTTCACAATGGTTGTGTCAATTCTATTTGCTGGAATGAAACTGGAGAATATATACTTTCTGGATCAGATGATCAGCATTTGGTCGTTACACATGGTTACAACTTTAAGGTAATTAATTTGTATGAACAAAGCTTATAAAAAGATACATGACTATTACAACAGCAATTTTGACATACTTGATAGTTTGTGATTGACAGGTTTTAAGTTAATTGTATCTTTTGTTTTTACAGGTGTTAACAAATTACAAAACAAGTCATCGTGCCAATATCTTCAGTGCCAAATTTTTGCCTAATTGTGGTGACAGTAGCATCATTTCCTGTTCAGGCGATGGAATTATCTTATATACTGGTTAGTTTTTTTAAGTTTTCTTACAATTTAGTTTACTTTTAGTTGCATGACATTTTATCAATGTATATGAAGAGGAAGGAATTCTGTATATACTAATGGTATTTATAGTACTTGCTGGAATACTCCAAATGTAACAAAATCAGAAAAGTACAGTCTGTTAGATGCATGAAAAAATTCCACTGGAGTTCTTTGCATCACTTCCAGTTGGTGTGGTATATAATTCATATATGGCTGCTGATAGATGGTATTGCATTCAGCTGATCAACATGACAGACTGATTGACAGATAGGACAAAAAGTTTACATGGCTAATGTTGGTAGCACAGTTACTTCTGTAGCACCTGATAGATGGCAGCACAGTAGGCAATGACTTTGTCAAGTATGGTCATAATCCCACCTTAAAGTTCAAGCATCTGTCTCATTGGTGTTACTGATATCAGAAAATAAAAAATTATGGATTTTCTTTAGCTTCCCATGGCAGACATAATATCCATACCAAATTTAATGAATCGTGGATTGTGACATCACAGATGATCATCCACCTCACATCTTTGATCATCTGTCACATAAGTATTACAGATTATGGGACATTTTAAAGTATGAGTTAGACAAGCCTCCAATAGCCTAACCTCATTATAAAATTCCATGAAAATCCATTCAGTATTTTTTGAGTTATATGGCAGCATAGTTTGTATGGTCACTAAACAGTGGCAGCACAATCTTGGCTGAAAGACGTGACTGACAGACAGATGGACAGAATATACCTATATTGTTATGACAGAGCATAAAGAATACCAAAAAATAAATTGTATGAGCATCTTGCCAGTATGCTTCATGTGAGAAATAAAATAACACTGACTTGTCATGACATGAAGTAGGACTTTGCCAAGTGATGGGTAACATAATTCTGCACCACTCTTTATGGAAATTTCAATCATCTCAGATTTCCATGGAACTTGGCAAATTTGTAGATTATAGCTGCAGCTAATTTTGTAATTCTTTATTTTCTGCCCTCATAGTATTATTTATAAATGTAGATACGGTGTAATTTCTGTCATGGCAGCTTGGCATCCAGAATTACAACAAATTATATATGCTGAATGGTTTGTGTATTTATTCAGATCTCACAAGGAAAGAAGAAACATATTACAACCAATTTAACTGTCATTCGGGCACAACATACGAAGTGATAACCATTCCTAATGATCCCCACTCATTTCTAAGCTGCGGTGAGGATGGGACAGTTCGGTGGTTTGACTTACGCATGAAAGAAAAATGCAACAAAGCCCAGTGTAAAGAGGTTAGTGCAGATCTGTCTGATATATAAATATTATGCAATAGCAGTTGTAAGTATAACCTTTGTTGTTGTTTTTTTCTTTCTTTCTTTTCTTTTCAGGATGTCATGATTACATGTCAGCGTGCTGTAACAGCTTTGTCTGTAAATCCTGTAGCACCATATCAACTTGCGATTGGGTGTTCAGACAGTACAGTTCGAATGTTTGACAGACGCATGCTAGGAACAAGGGCCTCAGGTATACTACCATACAACTCATTAACAAGTTGTGGTAACGATTTTAAAGGATCTAAAAAAATTATAAATTCTGTAGCTCTGGGTGTGATTTTGAAAACATGTGATTTGTTTAGGGGGAGCAGAGGCCGGAGGAACACTGCGACCATTGTGCTCATTCACTGTGCCCAGCTTTGAAGATAGGTCATATCGAATAACCTCGCTCACTTTCAGTCCTGAAGGGGAGGATATTCTTGTCAGCTATTCATCAGACCACCTTTACCTGTTTAGTGTCAAGGTAAGGACAAATCATGGAAACAAAACAGTTCAATTCAAAGAGACCTGAGACTGATTTATTTTTTGCTGGCATGCTATATGATTTTCTGTGGCCTCTTTGGGAAGGTTATAACTTAGGGTTTAAAAATAGTCTAGAGATCCTGTGTCATTTCTTACTAAGGACATGTTTGCCTGTTGATGTCAGGATCATGATGGCATTCAGCTCAAGTCTGGATCTAATGGTGCTGCTGCAATGCAACAGGAGCCTGACAGGAAAGGAACTCAAGGTACCCCGGCCCCTGTTCGGAGACTGCGACTTAGAGGGGACTGGTCAGACACTGGCCCTGATGCTCGCCCTGAGAGAGAAGGTGGCCGTCGAGGAGGTATTTTCCAGAACAGTTAAAATGTCATTTTCTTTGAGTATATAAATCATGTTTGTAAATGGCAGCTTGTGAGAAAAAGTGTGCTGTGAAGAGAATATAAAGAATATCATAAAACGTATTTTCATAATGTAGAACTAAAATCAGAGATTCTGAGTACATTAATTATAATGTACTAGATACACTCATACAAATGTGGACTTCAAAAAGAGTGATTTAAAAGAAATTTATTTTGTGTGATAATCATATCAGCTTTTTGTTAATTGTGTTGAACATGTTAGTAAACCTTGTTCTACAAAAGCAAGAAATTTCTTGACTTGCTGACTGTATTTTAACTTTTCATAACCTTGCGTTTTGGATTAGTTGATTACCAATTAATTACAAACATGTTTTAAGAAACATCACAGCACATGTGCCTCTGATTGGTATATATGAAAATAATCACAAGCAACATTCTTATGTAAAATTAAATAATCTGTTAATTAATTACATGTGAATAAATATTCACTGCCATGGTGAGCTAGCTGGCCTTGTAATCCTGGGGCCCCAGGTTCAATTCCCAGTGGTACCCGAATTTATAACTTGTGTTGGGCTAGGCCGTGGTCTAGGCAATGGCAAACCACTTCTGTATCACCTGCCTAAAAACATATATGAACAGGTCCCAGTCTTTGAAAAGGATGGAAGGATCCTGTTCATAATGTGTAGCCAACCTCCTGCAAAGGAGATGGCGTAATAATGAAGAAGAATAAATATTCAGCATCAAAATGTGTCCATAACATTGAGACCCATTTCACAGTTTGAGACAACTAGCCTATGCTGTTGCACTTTATTGAAGTTCCACGTGTTATGTTAAATTTTACCTGTCTCATTGTTCATTCCAGAAATTGCCCAAGCACGACCTACTCTGCATGCTACTTTAATGCAGCGCATGACTGACGTTCTGTCACGGATGTTGAATGACCCTGCAACCCGGGCAGCTCTCAGTGGAGGTGGCGAAGACTCATTAGAAGGGGAAGAGAATCAAGGAACTGAAGCTCAAATAACCACACCACAGTCCATTGAGTCCCCACCTGACACAGTCCCACATAACCTTATGTCAGCTGAGACTGCTTCCACATCTCAACCTCACTCATCCAGCTCTGTTTCTGTGCCACAACTTTCTTTGTTATCTATCCATTCTTCAATGCCTGAAGCAGTAGACTCTAGTAATGAATCTATTCCTTCCAGTAATAATATGCCAGCTGGTTCAGATTCAAATAATAATTCAGGTAAACGAGAAGTAACTGACACTGTAGCTGAAAATAATAGTGTCCTTGATCTTTCCCAAGTTCCACCACAGTTAAATGTGTGTTCAGCTGAACAGCCTATATTTAGCGGCACATTAGGTACAAATGAGAGAAACGGGACTGATAGTGAAACTGTGTTACCTGAACAAGGTGTTCATAGTCGCCAAGACTCCGATGATAGCTCCGCTGCTACCAGAGCTTCGTTGTTGATGCCAGACTCTGAACTTGTTGATCATAATATCAGCAACTTACAGGATCAGTTGTCCACCATGAGAGAAGGGTTTATCGAAAGGTAATTTTGAAATATGACAATGTTCATTCTCTGTTCTTTCAGTCATTGATAGAGTTAGAAACATAATTATTTTTTATTGTAGGAAGTAGGGGTCCGTAGTGGCCGCACGGTCTGAGGCGTCGGCCTTGTGCCGCTTGGTCGCTGGGACCGTGGGTTCGAATCCCAATCAAGCTGTGGATGTTTGTCCGCGTTTTTCTGTGTTGTGCTGTCCTGTGTACAGGTAGAGGCCTTGTGACGGGCCGATCCCTCATCCAAGGAGTCCTACCGAATGCCCATGGATCAAGCCAACGATAAGTTGGGACCCGCAGTGCTCAGGCACTTGAAGAACGGGTCGTTTCCAGTATCTAGGAAGTGCATGAAATTATAAACATGCAAATTTTTGTATGTGTGTGTATTTAAAAATACCACCATTTATCACTGTGAACCTCTGGGGCTATATTTAGAAATTCACCTGCTCTTAGTTGGGTCTTATCTCATGATTCCTGTCTTCTCCATGATGCTATATAATAAACTGTCAATTTATGAGTCTACAATTAATATTAACCTATATACTGCTTTGAAGCTACAGTGATTAATGATGTATACTGAATATAAATTAGAGAAGTGAGGCTTAAAACCTTGTGATAACTCAGTCAGTAAAGAAATTGGGTATGGGCTGGACAACCTGGGTTCAATTCTCAGCAGGGGCAAGGGTTTTTCTCTGTACTGCCAAGTCTCAACTGGCACTTGAGCCCACCCAGCCTCTTTATAATGGCTAACAGGTGTATAGTGGTTAGAGCAAGAAGCTAATCACTTACCTGCATCTACTGCTTATGTCAAAGGCATGCTGCTTTACCTCCAGCCCCCCCTCCCTCACATCTTTATGGCATGGTGCATAAGGTTGGGAACGGATTTACCTGTTTCTAGGAATGCTATAGTGAAATCTTGTTTTCAGTGCTAGTGGGTAGATATGATATACCAAGAGGCATCCATATGTTCTATCTGCATAATGAATGTGATTCTATAAAATTCAGGGAATATTCAAGGATTCATATACATGGCTTGAGAAATACTCACTTGCCATGGGCAAATACATTTTTAACCTGAGTTTAAACGTGTTACAAAATCAATAAACAGATGTTTTATTTAATTTGTAATGTTTAGGTAGACAGAAGTCTGTATTACTTTTGTTGTTTGGTATTGAGTTTTTAAGTATCTTCAGGATATTTGCAAGTAAGTGGGTTTTCTGAAGATGGAAGTATATTTCTGCAGGCTGTGAGTTTAGTATGCATTAGTTTTGTTGTCAGTTATTTACTGAACATGAATTTCAGGCATAGGAGCGAGCCAGCTGTAAGCCTAGTATATTCTGACAAGAGTTCAACCGGTGCCAAAATATCTCTCGGACTTGGTGACGAGGTGAGCCGTGAATTGCATGAGAACAGTAGCAGGAACTCATTGCCAGGTAATTACTGCAAAATAAAACTACAGAGGTTGTAAAGTATGTAACATCATTTTCATCATAAGTGGATTATGACAGTTTGAGTGATACCTATAAAAATGTTTTTCTCACTTTCATGGTTGACTCTTAACCAGTTTTCTGTCAAATAATTTCATGTATTGAACACTATTAGAAAAATGATGATGTACTTTACCTTTCTGAAAAGTAAATAGAAATCCATCAGCAAGGTTACAAAAATTTTATCAGTTCCGCTGGTTGTTTTATATGAATGTAGAGATCCATCAAGCTCCAATTTCATGATCTGTTATTTATCTATGAAAGATGGTGGCCTTGTAATCCTGGGATCCTGGATTCGATTCCCTGTGGTGCCCGAATTTATAACTTGTGTTGGGCAAGGCTGTGGTCTAGGCAACACTGAGTTTTCCTCCAGGGCTTCCTCGGTTTCTCTGTAGCATCCCAACAATTATTCCATGCACACAGAAGAAGGCAATGGCAAACCACTTCTGTATCACCTGCCTAAAAAACATATATGAACAGGCCCCGTCCGAGAAAAGTATGGAAGGATCCTGTTTATAATGTCGCCAACCTCCTGTAAAGGAGACAGCGTAATAAAGAAGAAGAAATTTACTGTTGCTGCACCTGAGAAGTCAAGTTGGATAACCCAGTTTTGCACTGCTCTGAATGAGTGTTCCTCAATTCCATTCATGAATGTAGGGCCTCAGTGGATCTCTAAATGTATCTAAATTGACTAAACTTATTAATCATGTCATTCTCTGATAGAGATAGATGATCTCCCAGTCACTGGATTTTTTTCCGATTTGATGCTTCTGAATGGGTGGAAAGATTTTGTCTGTTGTCATAAAAATTTCAAGTTCCATGTGTCCACTATGCTTTATCTTCTGTTTTTAGAAATAAATGCAGGAGAGACAGTGTCCCATGCACCATCAAATCCAGATTGTGAAATGGAGATTGGTGATGCAGTGCCAGGACCTAGTCAAGACATGTCTCCAAGAGCACAGGATGCAGCCAACAGGTCGAGTGGTAGGCAGAGTTTTTGCCACAATTTCAAAATTGGAAAGGTTCCAATTAGATTAAGGTGTGTTTTTTTGTGCTCAAGGCTTCTACCCTGTACAAACATATCTAATTTGATGTCAGCCATCTTCTCAGTCATACGCCTGGCGTAAAACCACCGGCTTCTATGATATAGATTCTAGCTATGACTGCGCATGAAGTTTTCTTGTAGAAATTTTGTAATTAGTGTAAGGTAATGTTTTATGTAACATTAAAGGCACAGTTTTGAACATTAGTCTTGAATTGTTGTCTCCCAATTTTGATCTGGTTGTTATTCCCTGAACTTAAAACAATTTTATTAAAGGAGCCTGCTGTAAGGGAATCTGTTTCTCTCAAACCTAAGTATAATTTATATCATACCTCAGCATGCACTTCTTAACTTATTTTAAATTTTGTATTTAAATTCCTGAAATATGTGAAAGATATCTGTGCAAAAACTAGAGAAATTGAACTTAAAATAGATGGTGACTGCTTCATTCCGCATCCTGCCCAACCTATCGTTCATAACCATCATAATATTTCTCATTTTATTTTGTGTAACCTTTGCACTTGATACTGTAGATGAGGTAAGAAACGTTAGATGTTCGATGTTTGTTTCTGTGTGTAAATAAGAAGACGGGGATCCTGTAATGGTCATGGAGAGAAATGTTATCAGGGTTGCTTTATTAAGTATTAATTTGGATTAATACATTAATATTATTTTTGGCTTATTTTGTGTTGTCTTTTTTATTAACACAGTCAGAATTACATTTTCTTTACTTGGCCTTAATATTTAAAATTAAATTGTTTGTTTGAGGCTTTTGGTGGAGTTGGTGTTTCCATTTTTATGTATAGTAATTGGTTGTTTGTGTGTTTAATTTAATAATTTGCTACAGTCATAAGCAGTAATGGTAAAGTTGCCTATGTTTATTACTGAGGAGTTTTCAAATGGGCTAGCAGGTTCCTCTAAAACATCGGTAATTTTTATTGCCTTGGAAAATGTAAAAGTGAAAGTTATAAATATTTCTAAGTAGCAAATCAGGTTTACATATAAGAGGTAAGGCTTTTCACATTCTCAGACCTTGTCTTCTTATTCTGGCTATAATAATTCCTATGGATAAAGGGGAGGGGGAGTTGCCCCAGAGTTTTACTAGGTGCAGTGGGAGAAAAAATGCTCCAACTGGGCATGAAACCCTGGTTTCTGTACCAGCAGAGCTGTAACATATCCTTCATAAATAATATCTTATGTCTGCGTATATTGTTTATTTTCTGATTGCATTGTGTTCCAGGTACTGGATGTGGAGGAGAAGATGATTATAATGACAGTGATGATGAAACTATGCTGATAACAAGTGGAAGCAGAAGGTAGTATCAGTTATTGAGGTGCAGTGAGAATTTTTTGACTTGTGTTGGATTTTAGGTTCTTAGGGCTGCAAGTATGATGATGGCTGTCTTCTGGGTTGTAATGCCGTTATCAGGCTCATCACTCTGATGACGGAGAAAGTAACCTTGAAACACTGGTAAGCTTCTACCAAACTACATGGTGTTACAACCCAGGGGTCTGCAGTGGCCACGCGGTCTGAGGCGTGGGCCTTGTGCCGCTTGGTCGCTGGGACCGTGGGTTCGAATCCTACTCAAGCCACGGATGTTTGTCCTGTGTACAGGTAGAGGCCTTGCGATGGGCCGATCCCTCATTCAAGGAGTCCTACCGAATGTCTATAGATCAAAGCCAACAAAGAAGTTGGGACCCGCAGTGCTCAGTCACTTGAAGAACGGGTCGTTCCCAGTATCCCAGAAACCAGCCATCCTAATATTTTGATGTCATTTTAGAATACCTCGTTAGAAACGTCTAAGTAAATCAGGAGAGGTAAGATTACCAGAATCATCGAATAAAGATAGCTACTAAACCCTTGACTATAAGGTAGTAACCAAATTACTTTCATGAAGTTAAGACCGTACTTTACTGAGTTATTGCTTGCTACCATTCAGTTTAGAATATTCTACCTTCCCTTCTGATTAAGATTTTAAGGATTAAAATATACAGAATTGTATTATTTTATGTGTGTGAAACCTTTGGATTCTCCAAAAGTCAGGGATTTTTTTAACCAGCTCTGCAAAGGTTTTGAAGATTCTGCTGCAAAAGTTATTTATATAGTTCGGTTCAATAACATTTTTATAGGGTGTCAACGATTTTAACGTTGAACTAAAAGAAACTCAAAGAAATACGGAAAAAGTAAGACTGGTGTAGTATTTTCTTATTTGTCTAAAATGAATATTGTTGCACATTGTTACATTGTGACTCAAGTGATTTTGTTTTCTGTATTAAGTTATAGAGCACTTGATATTATGGTTTCCCCTTTCATTGCATTTACCAAGAATTTTGAACTTGATGTTTAGGTTTGTTCATCCAATAGAAGAGCACATGGATGAGGCAATAGCAGCCGTAAGACATGACAAAGAGATTATGTTCGATGAACAGAGCATCTTGCAACCAGCTGTGAAGCAGAAATACATTGGTCACAGGAATGCTAGGTATACTAATTATTTACAGAAATGCAACGAAAGAGAACTTTCTGAGGGTCCATATTCTTGCATTGCCTAGCAAGTGCAAATTATGTCACCAAGTCTGCAGTCGCATATCGCATGTTGCCTTGTGTTACTCATTTGAAATAAAATGAGCAATATGAAGCACATCCTGTTTCTTTGTGCAAACATTTTAGAAACAAGGCATGTAAGGTATTTTCTATACAGCACAACACATAATATTATGCTTTCATACAATTTAGGCTGGGGCCACATGACCGTACAAAGTACGTCCGTTGTAACGCGCGTCGTGACGTCTGTCATAGAATTATGAAGGGGCATATGGGGTACAACACACATGCATTAACAGATGCGCGTGCTTCGTGTGTTGTACCCTTTATGCCCCTTCATAATTCTATGACGGATGTCACGACGCGCGTTACAACGGACGTACTTTGTACGGTCATGTGGCCCCAGCCTTAGAGTTATGAGATCCTCAGTGATATAAATTTAAATTCTTGTGGCTTTATGATAAACGTAGCCGTGTTTTCAATATTGGAATTTTCAGCTCACTGGTATTAACGAGTTGCAGGAACACCACAACCATAAATACGTCACTTCCTGATAAGATTACACCATTTCCTATGAAAAATTAAATTCATATCTTAAGTACATGAAAGATGAAAGATGAATCAGTTTTGTGCACGAGAAACTTGACTGTTATAACAAATCAACATGCCTGATTGTAAATGCAGGACAATGATTAAGGAAGCCACATTCTGGGGTAGCGACTATGTTCTGTCAGGATCGGATTGTGGCCACGTGTTTATGTGGAATCGCTACTCTGGACAACTGATAATGCTGCTGGAAGCAGATCATCATGTTGTTAACTGCCTGCAGCCCCATCCTGTGCTGCCTCTGTTGGCTACTTCAGGCATTGACTATGATGTCAAGTTATGGGCACCACTACATGACGAACCCAGCTTCGACAGGGATCTAGCTGATATTGTAAGTAAGAGTGTATAATCAAAATAACGTAAGATTTGAGGTTTTCACAGCGGTGAGTGTGAAGATTTCTGTCTTCTGGGTTGTTGCTCTGTGTAGTATATCGCCCTGATGACGGAGGCAGTATGACCTCTGAAACGGTGATTAACATCGACCAGACTACACAGCGCAACAACCCAGAAGACAGAAATCTTCATCGCCCTGATGACAGAGGCAGTATGACCTCCGAAATGTTGGTAAACATCGACCATACTACACGGCGCAACAACCCAGAAGACAAAAATCTTCAAAATTACATTCCTTGATTGAATTTGTAATGTATGCTCCTCCTCAAACTGGGAGACTCTTAAGTCTGTGTGTTAAGCTCAACAATGTTAGCAATGTTTATATTGTAAAAATATTATAATTGTCATCAGCGATGACTCCCGTTTCAGACGAAGGCATAATTATGCGTATTTTTTTCCCACCTGCAGGTTGAGTAAATATAGTGTTGCTGTTTTGTGTTCCAGTTAACCGAGAGGAACGAAGTGATGCTAGAGGAGACAAAAGATACGATTACTGTTCCAGCTTCCTTCATGATTCGCATGCTGGCATGTCTCAATCAAATTAGACGAGGTAAAGTCAGTACATTGTAATTTTTTAAGTTCATCAAAAATGTAAGAACTTAAACCCTAGAAACTACGTGTGGACAGAAGTGGTGTGACCAGCATTTTGTTAGTTTAGAAAAAGGTTTCTTTAAGTTCAAGCCTAGAGGTGGTAGAACCCATTATTGAGACTATTGTGGCCATCAATATGTATCCTAAGAGGTAGAAAACTGTTATTTTTTGTTCCTTGTTGTGTTTCTGCCATGTCACTCTTATAATAAGCCCAAAAATGCTCATAATGAAAATATAGCAGCCTGTAATGCAGTAGACTTGGAGTCATGGTGAATTCTGCTGTATTTTTCTTGGCACTAGCCAATGAAAAAAGTGACATATTTGTGATGGAACACTTTACTTAAATAATATTTTCTTCATAATTGCAGTATTACAAAAGAACGTAGGTTAATGAAATCAAAAAGGAAAGCCTCTGTTAAGTAATGTCGAATCTCATATGGTTGCTGCGTAGGATGGAAAGTCAAAGAATTAGAATATAATTTGTGTTTGGATAATTTTGAGCTAGGTGCTGTAAAGATAGTGGATGGCATCACTCTTGTGACTGTCATTGTTTGTAAAAGATAGGAATGAGTAACCGTATGGAAGTTGATAAATGGTTACTGATTCCATGTGTGTCGTCTATAACCCTTCTTGAATGTGGTCGCCTTCAAAGTTCTTTTCTTCTGACATGATACATGCATTCCAATATATCTGTCGTGTGCAGAAACATTTCTGGAGGAAAGTCATTTCGCTGTTGTCATTACGTTGCTGTGAATGTCTTGAAGTGGTTCAGAATTAAAACATTGTGTTTTTTAAGGAGACTTTTAGTTTCAGGACATGAAATTGTCACTCAGGGTGAGATCAGGTGAATGTAGTAGATGTTAGAATATTGGTACTGGCATACCTCGGAGATATTGTGGGTTCGGTCCCAGACCACCGCAATAAAGCGAGTCACACAAATTTTTTGGTTTCCCAGTGCATATAAAAGTTATGTTTACACTATACTGTAGTCTATTAAGTGTGCAATAGCATTATGTCTAAAAGAACGATGCGAGAACATTGCGAGAATTACTAAAATGTGATGCAGAGGCACAAAGTGGGCACATGCTGTTGGAAAAATGGCACCGATAGACTTGCTCGACGCAGGGTCGCCACAAACCTTCAATTTGTAAAAAAAACGCAATATCTGCGAAGCGCAATTAAACGAGGTATGCCTGTACTTTTTCAGTCTCATAGAAACTAGACTAGTTTGGCAAATATTTTCCCTGAAGAGGTCTGTAACGTTTTGTTTACAGGGGCACGAAATCGAGCCAGAAACGGAAGGAGACAAAATTCAGGCGAAGATTCTGGTGCTCATAATTAACAGTTGAGGAGACAGAATTTAATGAAGGAAGAATTAAGATGGAAGCAAATAACAATAAATTATAAGCCTATTGCATATTAAAGTGTTTATCATTGTGAATAAAATTGCAAAAAAGGAAAATTTTAATTGATCACATTCTAATATTAAAAAGAACTACATGAAGTAATGCACCTTGTTGTTTCTTCTGTACATTATCATGCTGAAAGCTGATTTCGTTCATGTTTTGTATCACTTATTAGTGTCGCATCGGCAATATAACATTTATTCATTAAATGTACAAGAATCATGTGCTGAGGTTTGTTTGTGAGATCACAAATGCTGTCTTAGTGCGCGTGCCCCTCCGCAATCCCTTTCTGCCTCTCGAATCAGTTGACATAAAGTTTGGAGGCCGCTCGAAGCTGGAGTTTCTAATTTCATAAAGTCAATAATAAGAGCATGGAGAATGTGGGGCTGGGAGCAACAATCGTGCTACTTAGTGTAGTATCATAAAATGTTGTATGGTAATAGATTTCTGAGAAATGTGCAGAGTTTTGTAATTTTTTGAAGGAATATATATCGACATCACGGTGGCTGTGAACATTTTCATCTGCCTTTTTGAGCGAAAGCAATAACCAACGAACCAACGAAGCCCGGCGTGTGAGATGTTATACGAGACAGACTAAATATCCTACAAATTTAGTATGAAATGTGTGTAAGTCAACAATTGCAAACATTGCGCTGGTGTGAAGCTTTGAGGTTATGTCTAACAACACTCTGTTAACATATGTATAAATTAAGGTAATATAAATATGATATTTGAAGTTCACGTGGCAGTGAAGATGTCAGCGTTATTCTTCTAAGTTATGACATTGTGTTCTTAGAGATAGATACCAACTGTCTCTGTTTTCAGCCCTAAAGATACCAACTGTCTCTGTTTCAAGCTCTAAAGCTGGTATCTACCTATGAGTGTACGCAGCATCAACCCAGATCAACGTAAACAATACGGAATATTCTGATTGTATTGAAATTCCAAGGCACTTGACTGTTTTGTCTGTTCACACAGATACTCCATAAAAAATATATCTAGTGTATGAGTGAAAGCAAAACTCACAAATGACAGAACACTCATTAGAAGGCCTGCACATTTTAATTTCTTTTTCAAATATCTAGCCACCCATTTTTGTAATATTTCTTTTAATCCTTTAAAGCTTAAGCACATCTGAATAATTCAATCCATACCACAAAGAAAACACTTCTTTCCTACAAAAATAAAAATTGTTTATGTTCTTTTGGGGATATAATTGCTGTTTACAGTCAAAATTGTATGAAATAAAATTCCACTTCATATAATGTGTTGCTGTACAGAAAAATAAATGCATGCACAAACTGCATCACATTTTTTCATATTTAGTTAATGGAAAGGCTTGAGCATCCATTGTAGTTGAGTCTTTTAGCTTTCGCTCATGACTGTACCGTCTTACGATTGTGACAGGAAACACGTCTCTTCTTACTAGACGTAATGAAACTTAAGAAACTTCCTGCTTAGTGCGAAGCGGTGTGATGCTTTTGTCGTTAGACGTTATTTTGTAACGGGCACTAATTACTACTGCCTACATGATGAAGATAAAAATACACAATAGATTTAAAGAAACTGGTTCTTGTGTGACAATCCGCGAAAAGCAGACAGCCTTCCAGGCACGAGGACTGAATTAGGATGCACGATAATTTAGTAGTGAAGTGAAGGCTGTCTACACTTGCAGATAGTCGAAAAATATCAAGATCACCAAGTTAACCTTGAAAAATACCCACTCAGGAAGGCAAATCTCAGCTTTAACATTGAGACTGTTAATAAATAATTCCATTTATGTATTTTATAGAAATCCAAATATCACGTAAATCGGACCGTACCTGTTTTTTCCCCACTTATCTGCGAGTTCGTTAATGTGTACAAAAACAGCTGTGTTTTTCTTTACCCCAAAAATTTTAGCTGGGACTGTGTTTTTTAATTATCGGAATTTAAATGAAAAGTGTGATCGATGGAGAATGTCTTGCCGGTCGGGTGAATTTTATAATACTGGTGGCACGCGTAGCACACATGCATCGATTAACTCATCTCTGACCTTCCTTCTCAATACTATATTTATTCAGGGATATACGTAGTTCGAGTCTTGATCGGAACACCGGATATCCCGTGTAACAGTTGGGGTTTCCATGGTAGAATGTTCTGGGTATCGCAACGTTTCGAAGTGTCAAAAATTACCGGCGTTCCGAAGGACCTTTTTTTCGTTCTTCAGTATCGATATGCGACAGGTTTTAAGCAAAGCGCGTATTCACAATTTTCGGTAGGACAATTCGATAAATACGCAGCCCAAATTGATCCGCATGTTGGTCGTGATCACCCACCCGTCAGACCATGACGACTAATAAATCACGCAGTGAATCCTGAATGGGCAGTTTACTTATTAATATTCTGTTCTAATCGCAGCTAAATCCGGTCGGAACTGCAGCAATCATCATGTACTTTCCCCGAACCTATGACGAAGAACAGGGCGTGTAACTGCGTCAGACAGTCGTAGATCACCATGATTGGATCTCATTGCATCATTGGCTCTATCGTTTCCTTTATATTTCTTAAACTACTACCTTTTCCTCTTATTATTATACCGTTGGTTCTTACAAGGTTAAAACGTGTCTGAAATCCGAAACGGCCTCGACAAATGCAGGTCAACTTAAATCATTTAAATCAACACATGCAACTGTAGATCTACACACTGACTAAATGATTTTATGATACGTTGTAAACTTAACAAATTCACTGCTAGCGACGACTTTTGACGTCATACGTAGCCAATCATCGACATACGTTTCTTAGTCATAAAACCTTTACACATCATTTTACACGTTTTGAGGAATTTTAATAGGATATGAAGTTCTGATAGTGGTGGGTATTAAGATTGCTGTCGTCTGGGCTGGCAGAAGTTATCCAGCGTTTCAGAGGTCCTTGCTGCCTCCATCATCATGGCCTCCATTCATCATCTCCCTGATGATGGAGGCAGGAAGGACCTCTGAAACGATGGTAAATTTCTATCAGAATATACGGCGTTACAACCCAGAAGGCAGCTATCTTCTGCATATATTTTGCTATGCGATAGATGCGTTTGATATTTTAAATAAACCAGAAGAAATGGTATATGTGTCATTGGTAGTGGCATTAAAAGATAGCGTTTTGTTTATTCATAAAGCTTGCCTGCCTTCACACCTCGTACCTCGCGCCTAAAACATGCTGATTAGATTACACACATTACGAATGTGGCAGAGAAGTTGCCGCAACAGCTCGGCGAGTTGTCTCCTACTTCCTGACTCATTGTCCTCATATTTTCCCAAGTATGTTGTTTAATTATTTTCCCTGGAGATATATCTTGAAAAATTGATTGCTTATTACACTCTCTTACGCTTTTACGTTACCCACCTAATAATACACAACAAACACGAAGTTACGTAAATAATTTAGGAATTCTACTTAGTCTTTACGCTGAGTCTAGCAGGCACTACAAATGAATAAATATATAGTTCAGTGATTATTTCTTGTGCATGATTTTCACTTGCACAGAGTCGTGTCACGTTTAATGTGTCAAATTTTACACATGTACATATAAATTGTTATATGGACCTATAGAATTTTCAGGTATGTCTGCTGATCTATCTCCATACAATATTTTATATCACCATATCTAAAAAATTCCTTCAGTCATCGCCATCAAACCGACAGCTAAATATCGCTTTGGAAGGGGCCCATAGAAATTAACCGGTACAAAAGTTGCAAATTTTTCGAATGACCCCTTACACATAAAATTGTAGAACCCTAAACTATGTCGGAATAATGGCTTTCCTGCATCAGAAGTGAAGAAAACTGCGACGTTATTATTGATGGTAGAAAATCAAAGTATGCATGGTGTTCTCGGGATTGCCTTTAATCAAGTCTTCAGATTGTTATCATACTGACAGATTTCGAACCAGGTAGCTTATGAATATTATGGTTAGTACGTTGGTAAGTTGTTTGATTTATTCTCAGGTTGTAGGCCTACAACGACATTATTTCAACAGCTAAGGTGTTATAAAGTTGAATTTATTATTTGAAATGAATATATTCAGATTTTGAAGGACTTTCGTTTGTATTACACTGACATTCATTTGCAGAGATCGAAGAAAACCCCTCAGTCAGGATGATCGACACTCGAGACGATTACTTCTCGAATTAAAGTTTACATTGTGTTTACTTGAGAACTGCAAGGCGAATAAATAGGCCAGTGGTGAAGAGGACGCCTGGGAAGTGAAGACAAATCTCGAGGAACCTAAAGCAGGAAGAACAGCTCCTTGGGCAAGATTCGAAACCACGACCTACCAAAACCGAAGCAGAAGTGCCAAGTATTTTCCATTTTGCGTTAACTCTTACCTGCTTCTCGATATTTTTATTGTCTTCATGAGATAAACAATCCACGTGGTGCTCTACAGTACAGCCCAAGCGTAAGAAAACACTGGCGTAACCGGTGTAAATAACAACATAAGTCGTGCTGCTGCTCGCACGATGCGCGTGCCCTGCTTCTTCTCCCCACCATTACCCTGTCGGAGAAAACCTGAACTAAACAGGAGAACTCGTTGACAAGTGACAAGCGAGGAGAAACTGGTTGCGAGAGTTTGCCTCGCCAGATATACTGCAGCTTTGGCGGGATTTGGTTCTGTTGCACGTCATATCGGGAACACGTGGTTTTTACTTGTGTTTCGAAGACATAAACTCAAAAAATTTGCAAATTAATTTGAAAGTGAAGTTGTGAAATAGTGCCAATGTTTTTAACTTTATCAGTTGGATATTTTCGTGTGTGATTTCTTTTCTGATACGTAACCTTACTCGTTGAAATATAAACGTCGATGACATTATAGTGCCTACCGTAGTTTTGGGCATTTTTGTGTTTGAAACAGAAGTCCAAATGGGTTCAGGGATGCCTTGACGGAAGAGAACTACTGAAGTTGTAAGTAAGCCCATAAGTTTATTTCATGTGAAGCTAGAATTGCAAACTATAAATGCGGGAACATGGTTGACTTGAATACCACTATTAGAACTCAGAGACGAACAATTTTGCGTACTGTACATTACGCTGACTATGTGATTCAACCTTGTTGGCATTTTATTTTCACATAACGTTTTCTATCGACGTTTTCAACATTCTCGTTTTATTCGTGCTTAGATATACTAGACCCAACACTAATCGTACCAAACCAAACTTAAACTGTCACAGAATTTGCATTTGTTGGAGAAATATGAAAGCACTGCACATACGAAAATAAGTATTTATTTGTTCAAAATACAACTTCCCATGAGCAACGTATCGTGTCACATCTTGAGAGTGAAAGAGGCACAAGTAGGGAAGTGCCTAAATTTTGTAAAATTTAAGTTGGATCATGTTTGAAATTGTATGGACTAAGCTATCGATTAAATAAATAGTGTGATGCCATTATGGTTACTCGATTAATTCAAGGTTATAACCGTCAAACATACATGACCAGTTTGTACCAGCACCAGCCCGGGTTGTAACGTAAATTGGGGGACTTTGTAGACTCTATAGATTCAGTATATCACGTTGGTCAGGGTCGATATTGTCGCTCAGTCGATACGAGAAATAATTATTTCTGGACAAGACTTTTTCTTCCCAGCGGTACACATGCCCATTTTTACGAAACATAAATTGAATAAAGTATATTCTTAAATGAGGAGAATTCACTATTTTAACGTAATAGTTTTCTGGCTTTTATTTTTATCGGTAGGAAATGTGTTTCGTTAATCCCCTCTGTCGGATCTGAGCCGTTGCATCGCTCCAAAATACCGGTCTTCGGGTTGACTGTGGCCATCAGAAGTAAGAGTGAAAAGCCGTTGCGACTGCTTCCAGGGAAACGAGGACAAGACCGAGGTCGAATTTATGTGACATGTGAAAAAAAGGAAAAGGATATGGCATTCTACAAAACCTGCTTATAACTGAATCTCGAGAGATCTGAACATTCTTCCGTTTTGCTTAACTATTATGTAAATAATATAAGACGGTACATAGGCCTATTCAACGCTATATGTAGGCTCATTATACAAAACACAGGTAGGCTATATTACACTGTTACTGAGCAGGACATAAAGTTTTCTGTTTTTGTTTCTTTAGCTCGTTTCTCATCTGCCTTTCTTTCTTCCTTATTTAGTTCGTTTCTTCCTGTCTGGGCCTATTAGGTTTTGCAAAAAAGTACATAATACATGACTCGGTGTGTCGTGAGGTACTGAATAATAATTTTGGGTATTGCCACGTGGGACAGTTGTGCTGTGTAACACGGAGTTTCGGTCTGTCATAGTTTATTTTATTTCTTCACGATTACAGCTTTATATAATCAGTGTTTTTAGGCCTGTTGCTTATCTCATTTCTTTGGAGTGGCCTTGGGTTATTTTATTTGCAGCATTGTGTCAGATTACAGTGGCTTTGGAACGTCACAGAATTAACTGTATTTAGAATTATGAGTTAGAAAGAATCAAACACACTGTGTCAGCTGTTAACTGGCCTTGAAGAAACTGGGAACACGGTAGAAGCGGTGGGAGGATAACATTAATATTGTGATGTAGGATCTGAGGTTCTTAAGGCGGTGAGTAAGAAGATGATTATTGTGAGAACCTGAAATTTCACATTATCACTGGTTGTCATCTGGGTTGAAGTTTACGGACGTTTCAGAGGTGCTTGGTGACTCCATGACCTGGCGATGAGATATAGCAAGCACATCTGAAACATCGCCTCAGTGAGAAACTGAAATCTCAACCCATTTTATATTTTGATACGGAAAGAAGGCAGATTAGATAATACGAAGCGAGAATAAATAACGAATTATATTTGCAGTTCTTATTGCATAATTTACGAAGGTGGAAGGTGGTGTTACTGACCTCCGTCTTGCCGCTTATACAAGGCTTCAAATTACAGTTGTTTACGGCAGGCATTACTTAATAGACCTGTATATTAAACTACTTCTTTATGCTGTCTAAATAATTCAAATGACTGAGCAATTAAAATGCCTTCAGACAAGATTGAATCTTTGAATCATTGTGGGTTTAATTGAAATTGGGCACAGGAGGCAGGACATCATAAATAATCTCGAGGCTGTCTTTCATATATTATTGAAATCACTATCACAACTGAAATCATCCATTACAAAACCCGGAAATTTGTTTTGGTGTTATCCATTTCCTAATTGGAAAATTTGATCTGAATTATCTGTTCTCGAAAAGGAAAATTCGGTGTTTTAGATCATCCATTCCCATTTCCGAAACTCGAAACTTTGTTGTTTTGCTATATTGTGGCAAATATGATAGGATAGCATAGTTGTGACTTAAGAATTAGAAGGGTTTGGAAGTGGCCATGGCGTATTTTAAGGCACAAGGCCTGTCTTGACATTTGCCTTGAGGTCGTTAGGTCGTTAGGTTAGCTGGTGTTGTAGAACATTCGAATCGGGATTCTGCTTATCTCAATATCAACCCGCCATTAATTTCGCAAGTGGTAAATAACATGAAGAAAATACCCAGCAAGGCAAGAAGATTAAAACAGCAGAAACTGAACGACAAAGAGATTAATAACAAAAGAGACATGAAAATATATAGCTCTGTGACAGATAATCAGCGTGTTTGCATTTTTATAAAGTACATATGTCCTTCTAGCCACTATCCGCCTTACAACCTAACTTTACCACCGAGTCATAAATTACTTAAAATGTTCAAAGATACACAGCGACTTGTGGGGTTGACACGTGCGTTGAGATGGGTAGCTGAGATAATAAATAGACAGATCGCAGTAGGTATACTTCAAATACTGAAGAACTGCAATATAACTTAGTATTTCAATTTGTTACAGACCGATGTAGTGTGTAAAGTCTGTTCTCTTTGCCACATGCGGAAAAGTTACTTTTTGCAGCCCGGAAACGACCCAACTACATAGACCTACCCAGTCCTACTAAGGACGTGTAAGATGCTGCTAATATCTAGTTCTTTGTAAATGTTTACGTCGTCATACATTGGCTGTTATGGAGCAAGTATTATAATCACAACAACATAATTAGCAAAATAGTGTATTAAATTCTCATTTCTAATGTAAAACGAGTCTTCGGCACATGTGTTTTGGATTACTGGTTCTGTTTACTGCAGCTTTGCTACAGCTGAGTAGTGAATGTGAGTTAAATCCACTTTACATGTGTTTAATACGCGGCTTAACACTTTCAGAACACCATTCAGTTTAGGATATCCTGTCAGAATCAACATTAACAATTATATTCTATTTATAAAGTATGTTGAAGTAATTGCCAATAATTTTTAACTGTTCAATAACTTTGTAGTAGGTCTAATATAATCTACTTGGTCTCGTAAGGTTTTTCGGTACGCGGTCACTTCGAAATATTCCATCAAGCTACAGAGTAGAATGAAAATACCCACCCGTACACTAACATGAATGTAAGAGAAAGGCGAATGACTATGAAGGACGTTTTGTCTGAACTCATAAAGCTTCCGAACACAAGAAAAAGGGATCCGGGGTAGCTCAGTCAGCGTAGTGCTTGGGCTGCGAGCTGAACGACCGGGCTTTGATTTCTGAAAGGGCAAGATTATTCTCGACGGCCAGACCTGCATGGGAGCCCACTCAATTTCCCATCTGTTTGGTACCCGGGCTTTTTCCTGAGGGGTAAAGCGACCGGGGCATAATGCTAAACGCTAACCTCCATCTAGTGCAGAGGTTAATGCTTTGAACTATACCTCCACTTCTCCATACGCCTGCATAGCGTGGTGCTTAATTAAGCACCGCGACTTCACCCTATACGGAAGAAAATTCGGACTAAGAATTTTGAAGATGGCTGTCTTCTGGGTTGTAGCACCGTGTAGTCTGGTAGAAGTTTACCGGCGACTCAGAGGTACTTGCTACCTCCATTATCAGGGCGTATTCCTCTTTTCGTATTCAGATTAGAAATATGGCACGACTCTGCCGAGAGGTTGACACTCATGCTTTGTATTCTGCAGGTCCCGACTCCCGAGTTTGAATCTCGACCAGGATACCGACTAAACTGATTGACGTTTTTCGTAGTTTTCCGCAGTCTCTTCAGGGAATGCCTGGGTAGTACCTTAAATTAGGACTTGATAGCTTCCTTTCACATCCTTTATAATTTATTATTTATTAATCGTCTTGTCATTCGACGCTAAATAGTCTGGGCTACTGACAGTAAATAAACAAAAAATAACAACAAATACACGTTAGTAACTGAACAGGAATTATTGAAATTAAAGGATTCTATCGAAGGGGATATTCTATGTAGGGCCTATGTTGTCAGTTGTTTGCATATAAATATGTGTGGGTATAGGACATTTCCAAGGATACTCAGTCTCCGTTTTCAGGGGGTATGGAAGGGTGCCTGCTTTATGGAGCCGTTTAGATAAGCCATTCGTTATCACAAGGCACTGAAGCATGTTTTATATAGAAAAAACAGAGTTACATGTTTCAGTGAAGAAGAAATTAATCAAGGATTGTGGTGTGTCTCAACAAGGAATAAAGACGCGTAAGATCAGACACAGAGAAACATCCACAAGAGAATAAATATAGAAACCGCTTGTGATCTCCGTTTGTACCGAGTAATAAGAATCAATTTATCTCACATTCTCTTTGCTCTTGACTTAGACAAGGAAACAAAAACTGAATAACCAACTTAAACCCTGAAGATGGAGGCAACATGTTCCTCCAAATTGGTGGTTTATAACCAGAAGATGGTCTGAATATCCATTCAAGGAAACTACCGCTTTCCTCCAGTGTTTCGTGGAAGTGTCTTCTTTTTTACATTGTACGCATGACAACTTGACCGACTTCAGTCCATGATGAGAAGTTTTTCTCTCTCTGACACTTTGAAACACAGAAGCCATTCTGAGCAGAAGTTGCTCATGTTCTAGCGCTAGAAAACTCGTAACATTGAGAGGACAAAA